GGTCTCACAGAATACCGACGTGAACCAAACCAACCACAGCGTTGTGTTTCGCCGTGTGAGTGAGGTTACCGGAGGCCCAATCCTTCCCCTCCCCCGATCCCTCCCAATCCCTAAATCTCCAAAACCCTAATCCCTAAAAGGTCGGCAACGCACTCGTTACTCCTCCGTTGCGGGTGTCCATGGGCGGCGCTGATTACCTACCATCTGGTAATCCGTCTGCACGTTTGCCGACATATTCCATAAAAAATAATGCAACAATGGAACCTGCACGTCGATTCTATAAAATTTGTTTGATTTTGAATCGTGTTCGAGTGCGAAGTGAGCGTCGAAGTGACGGGGAAATTAAATTATAGAATGTCACTTTTAACGTCATCTCATACTTTATCTATCAAAATGTTGCGGTCAATTTAGTTCAACTCGCAAGTGTAGCGCTAGTGTACTACTCACGGCGGATTCAGATTCGAAGTTTAGAATGAAGTCTTACAGAATCACACTGCTGTATCGGAATGGTGTAGATGTACATGGTGGTCACTGAACTTTATAAGTATGGACGTTGTTATTTCAAGTGCGTTTGTACTATTCAAGTGAAGATATCTTCAACACTATTCTACTTTCGACTCTCTCAAGCGGCCATGGACCTCTTGAACTGTTGAGAAGGTGTCCCTGCGAGTGAGTTTAGTCCGTTCCTTTTTTTATTTTTTCTAAAGGTACTCAGAAAGTCTACAGTCATTATTACGAGGAAAAGACCTCATAATTGAGAAGTTGGATTTTTTTCGTGCTAAATATATTTTAATTGTGTGTAAGTACCTAAAACCTATGTGTTACTTATATGTAGGTATTATAATATTACGGACCAATCCATACTGACTATTATTGTTTGCACTTATGATCAGTAATATACAAGATACTAAATTAATTATTATGTTTTCGGCTTACTCACGTAATAATTTGACGAGAAACTCGACTAGTTTCAAGCCATGCTAGAGGCCCATATTCATGAGCAGCTTTCCGCGACACGCGACTCGGCGACTGTCACGCTGCAGGCTAGTAGCAAGCGCGACAGTCGAGGAGGCCTCTAGCATGGCTTGAAACTAGTCGAGTATCTCGTCAAATTAGTACGTGAGTAAGCCGAAAACATAATAATTAATTTAGAATGTCTCTCACGAAAGTTATAATAAAAATATAGGAGATACCAATGAAAGCACATGTTTTTTAGTTACGATTGCGTTGCCGACGTTTTGTGAGTTAGGGATTTGGTGATTTAGGAATTGGGGAAGGGAAACGATTGGGCCTCTGGTAACCTCACTCACACGGCGAAACACAACGCTGTGGTTGTTTCACGCCGGTTTTCTGTGAGGCCGTGGTATCACTCCAGTATCGGCTCTCCCACACTTCTACTTACACCATTTTAAAACGCAATACAAAAAGGAACTATGAAACAATCAGATGTTAACTGTACGGTACCAATTGCAAACAAACTTGCGTAATCAAGGACGCTGGGTACGTGATGAGGTCGTACGCTTTCAAACTACTGATTAATCAGTAATAATCATTATATAAATAAATCATTTGAGTACCACTACGTAACTGACATACACACCCACCTTTATGAACAGACAGACAGACTGGACTACACTACATGAGCTGCTTTACATGTGAACATTAGTTCATGACGATACCTAAGTACGTGTGTCGCCTGGACAGTCAACCTCGCTACATCCTTGTTGACTGGACATCTACACTACATGAGCTGCTGTTTACATGTGAACATTAGCTCATGACGATACCTAAGTACGTGTGTCGCCTGGACAGTCCACCTCGCTACATCCTTGTTGACTGGACATCTACACTACATGAGCTGCTGTTTACATGTGAACATTAGCTCATGACGATACCTAAGTACGTGTGTCGCCTGGACAGTCAACCTCGCTACATCCTTGTTGACTGGACATCTACACTACATGAGCTGCTGTTTACATGTGAACATTAGCTCATGACGATACCTAAGTACGTGTGTCGCCTGGACAGTCAACCTCGCTACATCCTTGTTGACTGGACATCTACACTACATGAGCTGCTGTTTACATGTAATCATTAGCTCATGACGATACCTAAGTACGTGTGTCGCCTGGACAGTCAACCTCGCTACATCCTTGTTGACTGGACATCTACACTACATGAGCTGCTGTTTACATGTGAACATTAGCTCATGACGATACCTAAGTACGTGTGTCGCCTGGACAGTCAACCTCGCTACATCCTTGTTGACTGGACATCTACACTACATGAGCTGCTGTTTACATGTGAACATTAGCTCATGACGATACCTAAGTACGTGTGTCGCCTGGACAGTCAACCTCGCTACATCCTTGTTGACTGGACATCTACACTACATGAGCTGCTGTTTACATGTGAACATTACTTCATGACGATACCTAAGTACGTGTGTCGCCTGGACAGTCAACCCCGCTACATCCTTGTTAAATGGACATCTACACTACATGAGCTGCTGTTTACATGTGAACATTAGCTCATGACGATACCTAAGTACGTGTGTCGCCTGGACAGTCAACCTCGCTACTGTGTGGCGACTGGACAATTTATAAAATCTCAATTTTCCTTAACTAAATTATCTTTCTTGTACTTTTCACACGGTCGGGAATAAACCCAGTTTTGATTTTTATCTTTTAAACCACAGCTTTGCACTTGAGTACTACTAAACGGTGGTAAGTTACGTTTTTTGAATGACAAACAGACAGACATACAGTCAATGTTGCATTATAACCATCGTTTGTGCTTATACAAAATAAACTTATTGAATCCGTGATTTGTTTTTTTGAAAGACTGCGTGGGAAATGTTTTTTTTTCTTTTATTAAGAAAAACGTTGCCCCACTTTAGGATTTTCTCCTGTGTTGTGGGTGCGTTTACAAACATACAATGTCACATACACATGACACCCAGACCCGAAACAACAATTTGTGGATCACACTAAGTGTTGTTCCCTGCGGGAATCGAACCCGCACCACGTTGTACGGCAGCCAGTTGCCCAGCCACCGCACCAACCGTGCCGTCAGTTATATTAATATATCCCCAAACATTTAGCCAAGCGTGGGGATTATTAGTAATCAGCTGTTAAAAGACTGAAGGGTTATTTTTTTTGTGAGGGGAAAATCATCAAGTTACTTCTCCCGCGAAAGTTGGAGAGCGAGGGTGAGTCAGACTTTTACTGACTAAAAACCCCCCTGTTCCTTCTCCTGCTCTGGGCCGAGGTCGCGGTGCCTCATTGCGCTTACCCCGCAACCCCGGCTGAACATCAGCCCTATAGGGCCCCGTCTGTGGTGGTCTATTGGCTCTTTGAGGCGCGCGCGAAACGCTACGCGCCGTACGCTCGGGTTCTGGTCGGACGGCGACCTACTGTTACTCGCAGACCCGACTACCTTTGTTCACAATTGTTCTGTATTCTGAGGTTCACAATGATGAACATGATGATTTTGACGGTTTTAGTCAATATAATAATAATTGGATTATGATCTATTTAATTTTTTGTAGAGACAAACTTCTCCTACTTTTGCTAGAGACAGAGTCAGACTCTTACTGACTAAAAACCTGGTCCTGTCATATTTTGATCATTTTAAAATTGGTAGAGTGCAATTGCATTTTTGACCCTTGACTGCACATAAAGTTTTGAAAATAAATAAATATATATTGCCTTCTTCAATTACGTCTTTTTTATGTGATAGGTCGGCAAACGAGCAGACGGATTACCTGATGGTAAGCAATCTGCGCCGCCCATGGACACCCGCAACGGAGGAGGTACGAGTGCGTTGCCGACCTTTTAGGGATTAGGGATTTGGAGATTTGGGGATTGAGGAAGGGTTAGGGGAGGGGAAGGATTGGGCCTCCGGTAACCTCACTCACACGGCGAAACGCAACGCTGTGGTTACTTCACGCCGGTTTTCTGTGAGGCCGTGGTATCACTCCGGTCGAGCCGACCCATTCGTGCCGAAGCATGGCTCTCCCACACTTTAACAGTCTGTTGGTAATCACTACACAATCGAAGACATCGATCTGTCTATCACTTGGTGACAACGCTGGAATACTAATTAGCAAGCAGCTTACTAAGTAATCAAAGAATACTCATCCTGCATCACTAAATACGTATACCACCTCTTCTTTCTATTTGTCAATGGAGTACATCTGTTTTTACCACGAATTACCTGATGGTAAGCAACTTACTGCCACCCATGGACACTTGCAACACCTGAAGAAGTTACGAAAGCGTTGCCGGTCTTTTAATGGAGATGGTTATTTTGAAGATGGGACTCAAAACCTTACGATATTCAGTGTTAAACAACCATAGCGTTGTTTTTTTGTGATATATGTCGGGACAGGAACAGACGGATTACCTGATGGTAAGCAATCAGCGCCACGCAACGCCAATAGAGTTACGAGTGATTTGCCAACCTTTTAGGGATAAGGGTTTCGTATATTTAAAGATTGGAAAGGGATCTGGAGGGATGTGGAGGGATCTGACTTTTATGGCTAAACACAATGAAAATTTCGCCCTGAGTGTTAGCTGACTATACCTTCCCAATTCCAAAGTCAAAGTCAAAATCATTTATTCCAACTAAACAAATAGGTACTTTTGAAAAGTCAAAATAGAATAGTAGTCTGTCAGTCTGTTCGTCAGTGAAGCTAAGTGCTCTTTCCAAACTGTAGATTCGAATGGAGAAGAACGAGCAAGAAACTCCATCGTTACTCTTTTAAACTCTTATCTCCAAAAGACCGACAATGCACTCGTAACTCCTCGAGTGAACAGAACGACGCTGTTTTGCTTACCATCAGGTAATCTGTCTGCTCGTTTGACCACCAACCACATAAAAAAAATTGGAAGCGATCTTCCCAGGCCTACGTTGTTTAACGCTGGTTTTCACTCCGCTCTAGCCGTCCCTATTTGTCCTGCTATGTCATTTCAAATTCCAATTTTGTTCTATTCCAGATCCTGTCCAGATTTAAAGAAGATCTTCCTTCTAGCACGACCGAAGAAGAATAAAACCATTACCAAAAGATTACAAGAACAATTCGATGATGTGGTAAGATTTTTTATTTGACCTTTCTAACTGCACTGTTGGTGCGGTGACTGGGCAACTGGCTGGTGTGCAACGTGTCGCGGGTTCCGATTCCCGTCGTTGTTGTTCCTGCACGTCGATTCTATAAAATTTGTTTGATTTCGAATCGTGTTCGAGTGCGAAGTAAGCGTCGAAGTGACGGGGAAATTAAATTTTAGAATGCCACTTTTAACGTCATCTCATACTTTATCTATCAAAATGTTGCTGTCAATTTAGTTCAACTCGCAAGTGTAGCGCTAGTGTACTACTACTCACAGCGGATACAGATTCGAAGTTTAGAATGAAGTCTTACAGAATCAAACTGCTAGTCTGGGTAGCTTGTGTGGGTGAACGTTTTAAAAAAAGAATAATATCAGACTCAATAGAAGAACAATAGGTGCTTGAACGCTGGCGTTCGCTTAGGATTTGATGAACTAAAACCTTAATCCTTTTGGCCTATTGTGGATAGCAACGTTGGCGCGGTGTCTGACAGGCTGCCACGTATCCTGTTACAGCTCCGATTCCCGTAAGGAAGACCTCTAATTTAACTTAACTTTATACCGGCATTGCAACCGTGCGAAGCCGGGGCGGGTCGCTAAATTATGATAAACTAAGTATGGATTTAAAAAATTAACTGTTTACATCTGTTATTTTCCAGTTGTATGATAGACTTCGCAAAGAATGTCCAGACTTCATCAACAAGATCAGCCTGGTTGAAGGTGACGTTGGCCAGTTGGACCTTGGAATGTGTCCAGAAGACAGGATCAAAATTATGAATGAGGTATGTTATTTTCTGGGAAGAGCAAACGAACTGACGGATCACCTGATGGTAAGCTAACGTTGCTTATGGACACCATGAATTACAATTACGTTGGCTGTCTTTTGGAGATTCAGAGGACTTTAAGGAAATTCTTTTAAGAGATACATCGATTAAATGAAACAATGAATTTATTTTTGCAAATAGGCCATAAAACAGCACTGTTACTCGTCAAATTATATGTAAACAGCAGACGAGTTACAATTATGTTGGCGGTCTTTTAGAGATTCAGAGGACTTTGAGGATATTCTTTTAAGAGATAGATCGATTCAATGAAACAATGAATTTTATTTTATAAGTAGGCCATACTTTTACTCGTCAAATTATAACTATGTAAAAAACTAGATGAAGCCGGCATTTCCTATCTGACTACTCTGAGAAGAAATACCGAAACAAACTCAGAGGTCAGTCTTTTTTAAGGGAAAGCAAACGAACCGACGGATTATCTGATGGTAAGCAATCTGCGTCGCTTATGGACATCTGCAACACCAAAGGAGTTATGATTGCTTTGCCTTCTGGGGATAAAGGTATCGGATGTTTAAAGATTGGAAAAGGATAGAGGGAAGGGGAGGGTTATTCCCTCCATATATTATCTCCCTATAAAGGACTCCTTACAGAGGACTGGGAGATTTTCTAGACCTTTGATAAACTTAACAAACACGGTGAAACAAAACATCGGCGTTTTTTCACGTCTTCTTTCTGTAAGGCCGTTGTATCACTCTCTTTGAGTAGGACTCAAAAAAAAAACATTTACTTTTGTGAGGAGGAAATCATCAAGTGTGGGAGAGCCATGCTTCGGCACGAATGGGTCGGCTCGACTTGAGTGATACCACGGCCTCACAGTAAACCGGCGTGAAATAACCAAAGAGTTGTGTTTCGCCGAGTGAATGAGGTTACCGGAGGCCCAATCCGTTCCCTTTCCCAAAATCTCCAAATCTCAAACCCCCAAAAGGTCGACATCGCACTCGTAACTCCTCCGTCGTTGCGAGTGTCCATGGGCGACGCTAATTGCTTACCATCAGGTAATCCGCTTGCTCGTTTGCCGACCTATCACATAAAAAATGACTTCTCTCGCCCAGGATGAGGCGAGAGAGAGTGTCAGACTCTTACTGCCTAAGAACACCCCCGTTCCTTCTCCTGCTCTAGGTCGAGGCTGCAGGAGCTTATTGCACTCGCCCTGCAAGCCCAGCTGAAACCGAAGCATGGCTCTCAAACGTGATCACTAAGTGATTTAGTAAAAACGCACTTTTTTGTGACACCCAAGTTTCGAAGCCACTTGAACTAACCTTCTTATAATAATATTTGCTTAACTTCATTGGAATTCAAGTGTAACTCCTCAATAAACCTGTCTTAAGTAGCCTACAACTATATCTTCAATAGATTCTATTCCTTGTTGTAAAAGAGTTAAAGTTGAAAACGCCTTTGAAAGATCACACGCGTCAAGCTATAAAATAGTCCAGTTTAGCTTGGTCTTGCGTTAAATGATTTTGTCACGCATTTGAAGGTCAATATAAAATGGCTTTTGTGACTTGTTGTCTAGTATTCGAAGACTTAGGAATATTTTATGAAAATGTTTGCAAAATATTGAGAATATTATTGTACAATGAAATACGAGTTCTGATGTTACCATCTGTTACGACAAATAGGCGGATTGAAAGTCAAAAGTCAAATTCCCCCCCTATTATAAGTGTGGGAGAGCCATGCTTCGGCACGAATGGGTCGGCTCGACCGAAATGATACCACGGCCTCACAGAAAACCGGCGTGAAACAACCACAGCGTTGTGTTTCGCCGTGTGAGTGAGGTTATCAGAGACCCAATCCGTCCCCTCCTCAAATTCCAAAATATCCAAATCACTTATCCCTAAAAGATTTGCAACGCACTCGTAACTCCTCAGTTGCGGGTGTCCATGGGCGGCGCTGATTGCTTACCATCAGGTAATCCGTCTGCTCGTTTGCCGACCTATTACATAAAAAAAAGAATACCGTTGAAGATACTCTAATGATCTTTAATCCTGCAGGTGGAAATAATCTTCCATGGAGCAGCCACGGTGAGGTTCGATGAGCCTTTGAAGACAGCGGTCGAGATCAACGTCCGAGGAACGAGGGAGATGTTCAAGCTGGCTAGAGGATGCAGCAAGCTGAAGGCTTTTGTTCATATTTCTACAGCTTACAGGTAAATAATTCCTAATATACCTTTTATTTTTAGCAGGGATAGTCATCAAAATGACTTCTCCCGTGAGGCAGGGTGAGAGGAAGTGTCAGACTCAAAGTGACTAAAAACTAACCTTTTCGGGACCGCGGACCTTTATTGCGACTGTTTTTTTTTATGTAATAGGTCGTCAAACGTGCAGACGGATTACCTTATGGTAAGCAATCAGCGCCGACCATGGACACCCGCAACGGAGGACTTACGAGTGCGTTGCCGACCTTTTAGGGATTAGGGATTTGGAGATTTGGGGATTGAGGACGGGTTGGGGGAGGGGAAGGATTGGGCCTCCGGTAACCTCACTCACACGACGAAACACAGCCCAAGCGTTCTTTCACGGTTTTTGGTGAGGCCGTGGTATCACTCCGGTCAAGCCGACCCATTCATGCCGAAGCATGGCTCTCCCACACTTACTGTTTACAAATATGTGATTTAGATGGATGAACGCATTGAATTGATTTTTCTTCGGCCCATAACAGTGTGTTTAGTATTAATCTTGGAAATCGTCTGTGTGAATCATTTGCCAAGACTTCAGAAGTTCAAAGCCGTGAAAGATCTTACGGAAGGCGTTTAAAATAAAATATTGGCAAGCCTAGCTTTGATTGTTTTGGAATATTTATTTACAGTTTTTGGTGGTAAATGAACAGACGGATTACCTGATGGTCAGCAAAACTAAAATACTTGCGAGTGTGTTGATGAGGATTGTGAGATTTAAGTATAGGGGATGGGGAAAGGATTGGGACTCCGGCCACTTTACTCGCAGACAAGCGTTATTTCACGCCGGTATTCTGCAAGGCACTGGTATCATACTGACCAATCCAGCCCATTCGAGCCGAAGCATGGCTCTCCCACACTTAAGACACACCCGATTTTCTTTATTAACAACATCTAATGACAATATTTCGTTTCATTTTCAGTAACTGCCCTCAAAATATGATTGGTGAGGAATTCTACGAGAGTCCGTTGCCAGGAGACAAACTCATCGACCTGGTGGAAACCATGGAGGAGAAGGTCATCAATAACATCACGCCTGGGTAAGCTGATGTCTAATATTTGCTGTAGGAGTGAGAAGATAGGAACTAGTTGTGATTTCCAAATGTGATAAGCAGATTACATTACTTACATGACGAAACATAGTCCAAGCGTTTTTTCGCGGTTCTTGGTGAGGCCTTGGCACCACCCCTTTTTCTTCATTTTTTTATGGAATAGTTCAGCAAAAGGGCATATGGATAACCCGATGGTAAGCAATCGGCGCCACCTATGGTCATCCGCAACACCAAAGGAGTTAAAAGTGCGTTGCCGGCCTCTTACGGATTAGGGATTTGGAGATTAAGGGATTGGGGAGAGATCGTGGGAGGGTAAGGATTGGGTCTCCCGTAACCTCACTCACAAGGCGAAACACAACGCTGCGGTTGTTACACGTCCGTTTTCTGTAAGGCCGTGTTATAACTCCGGTTGAGCCGACCAATTCGTGCCGAAGTATGATTCTCCCACATAGGTCAAATAAGGTTTGAGAGAATCATTTGTACTGATTGAAAAGAACGACATATTAATAACAATCAATGTTTCTCCACATTTCAGGCTACTAGGCGATTTTCCCAACACCTACGCCTATACTAAGGCTGTGGCTGAGAACATTGTCAAGGAGTACTCCAAGGGTCTGCCGGTTGCGCTATTCAGACCATCCATTGGTACGCCTTCTTTAAAGATAGCACATTTTTATCGTATAGGACGACCGATGAGTAGTCCATTCACCTCTTGGTGAGAAGACAGAAAAACTGAGAAGATATTAACACCCGGTTTCTGAAAGGCTTGTCAACGCTAAAATTAACTAATCTCCTGTTAAATCTCTTGTCAAGTCATCTGATTGGTTGTTGATAACACAGTCAACCAATCAGATGACTTGACAATAGATTAAATTGATTTTAACATTGATCAGCCTTTCGGAAACCGATGGTAAGTAGAAGCAATGGAACCCACAATGGCAATAAACATATTTTGGTCCCGAAGACGATTAGTGTGTTTTTGGCACGATCTATTTAACATTTTACATTAAGTCAGTCTATGTCAAGCGCGGATCCAGCCTTCAAAAAAGGTTAAGAAAGAAAGAAAGAAAAGAAAACTGTTTTTATTCGGACCGAGACATGAAGGCCAAGAACAAACAAAATAAAATACCACAATAAAAAAAAACAAAACAATAAAAGTTTGAAGTAACAGGACAACAAAATAAAATAAAAATAAAATTAATCAAAACAATAAAGTGAAAACAGCCTAACAAAGTACAATAATTCAACCCTGGGTTGGCGGACATGCCCAATCCGAATGGGTCGCCAACTCAGCAAAATCTGGGTTGTGGTCACAGCTACTAGAAAATCGGTTAAGTACGAGTCGGAGCATGGAAATTTGGACATGCTCATTAACAATCATGCAAATCGTTTATGAACTTATGAATTAGATTATTTCCATTTTTTCTGAGCATCAGGACTTTGGCCTTAAGAATATAAATAAACTTAGGAAGAAGTCGGACACAATTTCTTGTAATTTCTAATAGTCAGTTTCGATCCAAACCTATTTCAATCACAAGTGTATTAAGGTTGTGGGCATGCCCATCGTGCCCTAGGCTAAAGCCATTATTGCCGTGGTGGCCTGGAGGTTAAGGTGAAAGCTTCTCATGTATGAGGTTAAGAGTCCACAACCTGACAACTTTCAATGCGACTTTTTCCAATTATAAATACTTTCTATGATTATTTAGATACCACTGACATACTGTGAAGAAAAACATCGTGAGGATAATGCGGACTTATAATTTCCAATGAAGTTGCCAATCCGCCTTGAGCAAGCGTGGTGATTAATGCTCAAACCTTCTCCGTCTGAGAAGAGGCTTTTGCTCGGCAGTGGGAACTTGTATTCTAATGATGCATTATGCATTACATATTTTCTACCAGTCGTTTCTTGGCAAAAATGAGTCAATGCTTAGTGCAAGAAGCAAGCAAAGCTTATCTAAGCATATTTTCTTCTTTTTTTTTAATGTAATAGGTCGGAAAACGAGCAGACGGATTACCTGATGGTAAGCAATCAGCGCCGCCCATGGACACCCGTAACAGAGGAGTTACGAGTGCGTTGCTGACTTTTAGGGATTAGGGATTTGGAGATTTAGGAACTGGGGAGGGATTAGGGAAGGGGAAGGATTGGGCCTCCGGTAACCTCACTCACACGGCGAAACACAACACTGGTTGTTTCACGCCGGTTTTCTGTGAGGCCGTGGTATCACTCCGGCCGAGCCGACCCATTCGTGCCGAAGCTTGGCTTTCCCACACTTAAATTTCATGTTCTTATATTCTTATATTTCATGATCTTGTTTAACGGACGATTTTTAAATTGCAGTTATTGGAACTTCTAAGGAACCAGTGTCTGGATGGATTGACAACGTATATGGACCGACTGGTGTGAGTAAATATTTATATTTCTTTATAGATATTTTTTGATGGTAAGCAATCAGCGCCGCCCATGGACACTAGTACCAAAGGAGTTATTACAAGTGCGTCGTCGCCGACCTTTTAGAGATTAGGGTTTTGGAGATTGAGACCATCGGTGTGATTCTGTAAGACTCATAAGACTTCATCCTAAACTTCGAATCTGCCGCCGTGAGTAGTAGTACACTAGCGCTACACTTGCGAGTTGAACTAAATTGACAGCAAATTGATAGATAAAGTATGAAATTACGTTAAAAGTGGCATTCTACATATTAATTTTCTCGTCACTTAGACGCTTCCTTCGCACTCGAACAAGATTCAAAATCAAACAAATTTTATAGAATCGACGTGCATGATTTGCTTTGAAACATATAATTAGAAATTATAAGACCAGATTTCCTCAGGATGTCTTCTTCAAAGATAGTGGAGTCTAAATAAACTAACAAACTACATATATTTAATTCAGAATCATAGCGAAAAAATCTGGACCTATAATTTCTAATTCTAAGTTTTATTTCGTCAATCTGTCTCGAGCAAGCGTCTTGATAGATGCTCATTATTTCTCGAAGTGAGAAGAGATCTTTACTCAGCAATAGGCACTTATTAATAGGCTGATGACGAAAAATCTTTATCAAAAACACATTTACAATTTTAATTTCCATTTCTGCAGGTGGTAGTAGGAGCTGCTGTAGGCCTCCTCCACGTTTTGAACTGCAATCCCAAGGTCATAGCGGACCTGGTGCCTGGAGATATGGTGGTGAACGCCTGCATAGCTACAGCCTGGAAGACGGCGAAGGAGTATCCGAGTAATCATGAGGATGCTCCTCCTCCGGACCTCACTCCTCCAGTTTACAACTACGTGTCTTCAGAACAGAGGCCGCTGACATGGGGTGAGTTGGAACTTGCATTGATTGCAAAATACTGACAATAACCACCAAAACCTCCTCCTCCTTGTCCTCCGATGGGATTTACCTTTACGGTCCCTTTTAGCTTTTCAAACAAGCAGACGGATGACCTGGTGGTATGCAATGGGAGCCTGCTATCTATACCTTAAGGAGTTACGAGTACCTTGCCAGTCTTTTAGGATTAGGATTCTGCAGGTTTAGGGATTGGGGAGCGATGGTGGTTAGGCAGGTTTGAGTCTCCAGAAAACTTGCCCACACGGCGAAACACAACGCTGTGGTTTTTCACGCTGATTTTCTGTAAGGCCTTGGTATAATCCTGGCCGAGGCCACCAAATTCCTATTATTTTATTTATGTGATAGGTCGGCAAACGAGCAGACGGATTACCTGATGGTAAGCAACCAGCGCCGCCCATGGACACCCGTGACGGAGGAGTTACGAGTGCGTTGCCGACCTTTTAGGGATTAGGGATTTGGAGATTTAGGAACTGGGGAGGGATTGAGAATGGGGAAGGATTGGGCCTCCGGTAACCTCAATCACACGGCGGAACACAACGCTGTGGTTTGTCACGCTGATTTTCTGTAAGGCCTTGGTATAATCCTGGCCGAGGCCACCAAATTCATGCCTATGCCTGGCTCTCCTACACTTATTGTGGTATCGTAAAGCCCAAGTAAAGAGATATTTGACGAAGACCAGGGCGCTCTCTTATAAATCTTATGACCTGTAATCACCAATCTGTCTGCAAAACATGGAGATTATTGCAAATTCCTCTAACATGGCCAAATTGTCCTATGCCTTATGTAGAAGCCCATAGTCAGTTCAGCTTTAGATATACCAAAAACTATTGATTATGTTTAAACACAACGCTGTGGTTGTTTCACGCCCGTTTTCTGTGAGGCCGTGGTATCACTCCGGTCGAGCCGACACATTCGTGCCTAAGCTTGGCTCTCCCACACTTGACCTTGCAAATGAATCACCAAATATTTTTTTCTATATTTTTCAGAGAAATTCATGAATTACAATGAAGTTTATGGATTCCAAGTACCAACAGTGCAAGCTATATACTACTATCTGTTTCACCTGACTTCGTCCAAGTTTCTTTACAATTTATATTGTTTCTTATTACACTGGATCCCTGCTTATATTATCGACGGAATCGCCGTGATCATTGGAAAGAAGCCTATGTAAGTTTTTTTGTGTTTAAACTTTAAAGTGATAGAATGGATGATGATAACGATGATATTTATTTTTAACTAGCGACCTGTCCCAGACTTTACACGGTTGCCATAATGGTATTCAATTTCGCTGCTATTTAATGGATGTTGTAAACATATAGGTAAACCTTCCTCTTCAATCACTCTATCTATTAAAAAGTCCGTATCAAAATCCAGAAAGAAAGAAAAAGTATTTATTCGCGTCTAGGACGTACAAAAGACACGAAATAAAACAAGTGTATAAACATGAAACAAAAAAAAAATATGATTATACAATTAATTATTATGTTTTCGGCTCACTCACGTAATAATTTGACGAGATACTCGACTAGTTTCAAGCCGTGCTAGAGGCCCATATTCATGAGCAGAATTCCGCGACACGCGACTCGGGCCTCGGCTCGGGCATGGCTTGAAACTAGTCGAATATCTCGTCAAATCATTACGTGGGTAAGCCGAAAACATAATAATTACTTAATTTAGAATGTCTCACGAAAGTTATAATAAAATGATTATACAATATAAAAAAGAGTAGGTAATATAAGGAAAAATATGCGTCACAAGCACGCGATAGCCCTCGCTCAACATATGCAGCGAGACAGTGTCGCAGCGCGTCCGTTGTGTAGTTTTAAAGATTTAACAATACATAGGGATATAGGGACGGAGAAAGCGATTGATTTATACTATGTAGTGATATAGACATGTGAGCCTTCATCGACGTCGGGGTTGCGGGGTAAGCGCAATGAGGAACCGCGGCCTCGGCCCAGAGTAGGAAAAGGAACAGGGGGTGTTCGGGTGTAAACCCGAACACCTGTTTACGAAGCAGTTTTAATGTATTGTTTTAACATGAACATACGCGACATCAGTGGAGGTACTTGTCGATCGCGAACAGAACGGGTGCATTCATCAAATAACATAAACATTAACATTTTTAACATTCAAAAAAGTCAAAAAATAAGTCAAAAATCATTTATTCCAATTAGACTTTTACAGGCACTTTTGAACGTCAAACAAAATTTAAATAGTGTCAGTCTGTCGGTCAGTCCTCTTAGTGAAGCTATTTGCTCGTTCCAAAGTGTAGATTCCGATGGAGAAGAACGAGCAAGAAACTCCATGGTTACTCTTTTTAAATCAGTTTCACATACAGATTCCTTTTACAAACAGTTGGTTCAATTATGTCATTAAACATCAAGATTAAGTTAGTGCTCTTGAACTCTTTATAAACAATAAACTTTTACGGTCACGAATGCGTTTGATATCCACCTACGACCTTTCACCCCGTACAGGGGGGTTTTTAGTCAGTAAGAGTCTGACACTCCCTCCCGCCCGGCCCTGGGCGGGAGAAGTCATTTGATGATTTTCCCCTCACAAAAAAAGCCTTCACTGACTTACATTTTGGATGCAAATGCCAGAACTTTTTACTTTTGAATGTGATAGGGCGAAAAACCATCCGACCCGATCTCATCTGATAGTAAGCAAACCGGCGCCGACCATGGACACTCGCTCAAAACCAGAGGAGTGATAAGCGCATTACCGGCTTTCTTGTTGTATATTGTTTCAATGTGTACCATCCACTACATAGTATAAAACAAAGTCGCTTTCCCTGTCCCTATATCCCTATGTACGCTTAAATCTTTAAAATCACGCAATGGATTTTGATGTTGTGTGTTCATTAGATAGAATTATTGACGAAAAAGGTTTATATGTATAATAACGTCCATTAAATAAGGGAATAATTTAGTGTCAGAATTACCTACCTCCATTCGAAGCCGGGTCAGGTCGCTATGATCATTCATCAGAATTTTTATTATAAGTTTCGTGAGACATTCTAAATAAATTATTATGTTTTCGGCTTACTCACGTAATAATTTGACGAGATACTCGACTAGTTTCAAGCCATGCCAGAGGTCCATATTCATGAGCAGCATTCCGCGACACGCGACTCGGCGACTGTCGCGCTGCTACTTTACGATTCACGCGCACTTTCTTCTATCCGTGGCGTCGGCAGCGACGGCGCGCGCGACACTGTTTTCACGCTAGACTCGCCCGCCTGCAGCAGCGCGACAGTCGCCGAGTCGCGTGTCGCGGAATGCTGCTCATGAATATGGGCCTCTAGCACGGCTTGAAACTAGTCGAGAGTATCTTACTAGTCAAATTATTACGTAAGTAAGCCGAAAACATAATAATTAATACATCAAAATGTTATCTTGGTAACTGTCGCGTGCCTTGTGCAATGCAAAATAAAATCAATTTCTTTTCTTTTGGCTATCTTTATTTCTAGTTATTTTATTTTCCTTCTTACTGTCTTCCTTTTCATTTTTTATTAATTTCTTTAGATTTCTTTCCCTTTTCATCTTTCTTTCTATCGTTGCTTCTCTCTCGTTTTGTTTTTATTTCTTACTCTTTCTAACACACAAGCGTCGTTTCACTTCTCTTCTCTTTTAAAAGCATGTAATTCACACAAATCAATTGTTTTTATCAACAGGTTAAGAAAAGCGTACAAGAAAATAACGAAATTCTCCGAAGTTATGGCTTATTTTGCGACGAGAGAGTGGAAATTCGACAATACAAATACTCAACAGCTTTTCAAAGAGCTTTGCGATGCTGACAAATATATGTTTGACTTTGATATGAGTTCCTTGGAGTGGAATGAGTACTTCTACAATTACATTAGAGGCGTCAGAGTGTATCTATTAAAGGACCCTGTCGAAACAGTACCACAGGGCCTAAAAAAACATAACAGACTTAAGTATCTTCATTATACGTTCTGTGCTATTTTAGGGTTGCTATTCTTAAGATTATTATGGGCCATTTTTAGCGGAATTTTTAGTTTTTAAGTTTTTTTTTTTTGGATTTTGTACATTAATGTTGACCAAAACTTTTTTGTATTTGTATATAGGTGTATTATGACTTGATTCGGGTGTTTGACTTCTTCGAATTAAATTATTTTGAATTTTCAATGTAATACTTAATATTTACAAAATATAATAGTAATCACATATTAGTGCACTTTACTGGTACCTATTTTAATAATGGTTTTTCTTTAGCCAATATTCAAGAAAAAAACTGCTGTTTGACTTAAAAAACGTGACGTCAGCAATGGCAAACCAAAAAAAAAACTTAGAGTAAACGGATTAAAGTCATAAAATATTTTATTCCAAAATTAAACCTTGAAAATTGGAACATATTTTTTTAAATACAAAAACCTTATTTTTTTAGTTAATCATCGTTTCTATTTGCATACGATTACTGCCGATTTTGAAAATTCCAATGAAGTATTTAATTTGACAAGTTTTAAAGAACTCAAATACCTACCCAAAAGATAAAATAAATGACAAAACTTTTCTCATTGAAGTAGCTAAATAGTTTAATTAAAAAATTTGCTTTGTGTAGGTGGCGTTAACATCGGGTTTTATCAAATGGAAAATGTCGGACTTAAGGTGTCAATTACAGACACTAGATGGCGTTAAACTTAAAAATTCTTTACCTTAGAGCATACTCTAAAATATAAATATACAAATATAGCAATCAAACTTTGTTTCTTTCAATCTGGATAGATTCACAACAATTTTCGATGTAAGTTCTTTGAGAAATAAAAAGAAGAAAAATTAAATTCCAGAAACAGATACACATTAAAAACACGAAAACCTTGGACCTATCAAATAAAACTAACGCCACCTACGCAAAAAACCTCATTGTATAAATTAATTTATCAATAAAAAACCTATACCTTTATACGTACAAGTAATTAAAAATAGAAAATAAAAATGTATCACAATACTTAAGTAATTAATTGTAATTATTTTAGTTATCTAAGTCTAGATTTAAGTCTATTTTGGGTCTGGCTATAAAATATGATAGGTACTAAGTATCTACATGTATTTTTAACGAATTATCTTCATCTGAAACATTAACTTTGGCGCTAGTGAGACATAAAGTCTTCTTACTCCAAGCAGATTAGATGTCACATAAATTGCCTTACTATATTTTTAACATTCACATCTTCTGAAAAAAACACGTTTAATTCGATTGAGTAAGAAAAAACGACATTTCTATATACAAAAAGATTTGTTCAAATTTGAACCAGTCCTTCCGGAGATAAGATTCAAAAAAACAAAAAAAACTCGTTAGCTTTCACAAAATATACAGGAGCTAAAACCCCACAATCGTTGGGCAAAGGACAATTAAATTTTAGTTTTTAAGCGAATGTGATAGAGGCAGGAGAATTTTTGCTCAGTACTAAGTAACTTTATAAGTTTAAGATTATAAAATTGTGTAATATTTTTATATATATATTTATACATTATTGTATTACAGTCATAAGGAATCGTTGTTCAATCTGAAAATGTTATGCCACGTTGTATAAATTAATTGAATTCCTCAAAAATAAAAAGAAATATCATATTTATGTACTTTTTCATTATTTCACGATAAAAGTAATGAATATTCATTATGTTCAATAAATAAATGCGAAAAGGGAAAAAGAAAATGATGTAGAATCCGCAAAAGACTGTGTGAATGTGTGTGTCAAGTCAGACAACTGAGAACTTTAATCTCTTTGTTGCCCAACAGATGGCGTTAATGAATGGGACGCTTTTTTTGTGCGGGGAAAATCATTAAATGACTTCTCCCGCCCATGGCAGGGCGGGAGGGAATTACAGACTCTTACTGACTAAAAATCCCCCTGTTCCTTCTCCTGCTCTGGGCCGAGTCGCGGTGCCTCATTGCGCTTACCCTGCAACCCCGGCTGAACATCAGCCCTATAGGGCCCCGTCTGTGGTGGTCTATTGACTCTTTGAGGCGCGCGCGGAACGCGAGCTGCCCTTACTCGCCGACCGCAGACCCGCGCTTACGGTGGCCGGAGACCGTCCCTTGATCCTCAACGCCCGTAGTGTCGCCTATAGCGTGGACGCTTAAGTTATCCCATAGATAGGGAAACCGTTGAAATTCAATTTTTGACAGCTATAGTATTTTGAAAAAACAGACCTTATACGTTTTCTTCTTTCGGTTTCCCCTAACACAAAAATAGGATGGGGGGCTGTCATTCTGCCAGTCATGACTTTTTTGTCTTGACTGGGGCGAGGGGGAGTGTCTATAATTCTTCTCGACTGAAAACCCCCGTTCTTTCTCCTGCTCTAGGCCGAGGCTCATGGTGATCATTAGCCATTGGACGCCATCTGCGGTGGTCTTTTGGATCTTTAAGGCGCATGCGGAGAGAAACGGACCTCACTCTTGCCTAAGCTAATATTTTTTGAGCAAAACAACAATTTCAACTTCAAAAAATTTTAGGTAATCCATTGTCGGACTAAAGTCTTCCATTGTAAATGACGGCTGTCGAAATTTCCACGCCTAAAAAGCGGGTATCATAATTTGATATAGGAAAAACCATACCTATTATTACCTACTTAAATCTATATACCTACCTATTATCGATATCTCGGGGAGAGAACAATGATTTTCTTGTAAAGTTTGTATTAAAATAAATATTGTACCTACTTAATTATATCTAATTGGTATTTGTGAATAAAAAACATAGAAAAATATGCCATTTTATAATAATAAGAATAAATAAAAAGTGCTTAAATTAAAAATTGCTTTTTTTTCTGGATGAGGCGGCTAAGGTACAGGCCAGTCGCCTGATGGTTACATCATGGACGACAATCGGCTTATTGAGGTATTTGGGGATGGGGAACCTCAATGACAAGGCTGATAAATTAATGAAAGCGAGGTTTCTGTATTCTAAAACTACCCACCTAACGGCGTTGCACCCTCAAAAAACTAAAAAGAGGTAACTGTAAAGAGAAGGAACCTTTTTTTCTATAGACATTTTATATGATGGTAAGCAATCAGCGCCGCCCGCAATGGAGGAGTTACGAGTGTGCTGTTGTGTGTGTTGACCTTTTGGGGATAAGAGAATTGGAGAATTAATGATTGGAGGGGAAGGATTGGGCCTCCGGTAACCTTACTCAAACGGGGAAACCCAACGCTGAGGTTGTTTCGGTCCGGTTTTCTGTGAGGCCGTGCCGGCCGAAGCTTCACTGTTATACACACGGTTTTAATTAAAAAGCTAGGTATACTTATTACATGGCATGTCCAGATCTCAGTCTATATGCAATTAGGAAAAGACGTCTGGCCAGCTTTCCTATTCTGTATCAAGTACTTACACCAAAGAGGTTGCTTTTAACACTTTAAAGCATAGCGTACTTATACTGACAATGTATAGAAGACTGTATTCAGAAAAAAAACCAATTCTAACGCACGCCATGGTAATTTATTTAGACAGTATGACATAAAAAGCTGACACGCTGTGACGCCAAACGTCTAAAACGATGACATTAATGAATATTTCCGATGAATTTTTACATAAGTTTTATATTATTTAACATAGTGATGTGTGTTTTTAGTAAAAATATTGTTACAAAATCTGGTCTCGATCATATCGTTCCGTGTTCAGTAGGTTTGAAGTTTTTCGCTGAAATTAATAATACAAGTGGAGATGACTGCGTGGTTGAAATTCATCCGGACGAATGTTGTTTGGAATCGAATGATGCGAAATGCAATATTATTGAAGTCATTGGGAGCGCTACTGAAAGTATACCTGAAGGTAAAGATAGTTTCTGGGCTATAAATTGTCCGGATGATACTTCTAAGAGTTTTTATATTATTTAGTTAACTGGACATCTACACTACATGAGCTGCTGTTTACATATGAACATTAGCTCATGACGATACCTAAGTACGTGTGTCGCCTGGACAGTCAACCTCGCTACATCCTTGTTGACTGGACATCTATACTACATGAGCTGCTGTTTACATATGAACATTAGCTCATGACGATACCTAAGTACGTGTGTCGCCTGGACAGTCAACCTCGCTACATCCTTGTTGACTAGACATCTACACTACATGAGCTGCTGTTTACATCTGCTCACAATACCTATTAAGTCCGAAAACCCTTCTGCAGGACGCATAACCAGTTGATGTGAACTTCATAAAGGGAAGCTTTTCTTTGGGAGTCTTGGTATGAAAACATGATAGAAATAAAATTGTGTATATTGGCATAAAACACAAAATTTCGAAGTTAAACAATAAAATTATAATTGACATATTCTTTATTCTTTTTTTAAGGTACTTCGAAAACTCTTCATTTAATCGCACCTCTCCTAGACCCGTATGATCGAAAAGGATTTTGTACAATATACGTAGACTATAAATCAAGAAAAAAACCAAAAAACTTCATAAGGGACACGATAAAAATAAAATTTGATACAACATTGCATAAGTCAAAGCTGCCTGAAGAAGCTAAGCTGTGCAACCATGTCGACGAAGATCCTCTCAACGATTGCAAGCCAGTCAATTGTGACACTCATTACAATAACCAAAGATCATTTTATAATATCATCAAAAAACGTTGCACAAATGTGCCGGTCTGCGTTTCAAATACAAAAACTGAAATACCTAAAGTGGCGTACAATCCAGTATCAAACAAATGTGTAAGTAAGCCAGCTATAAGCAAAGATGATATTGAATTTATCAAAGTTCTCACTCGAGACAAGAATAGGAAAGCTAAAGATATACTCATCATAAAAATGACGGATAAGAACTTGACAGCTCCTGCTGCAGAAGTGGCTGATTATGACTACAATACCATTGCAAGGATTGAAGACCCGGATGTGTCAACAGAACAAACTGTCAAGAAGGAACCGCGGGTAGCAGGCACCCACAAGATACCGAGCACGTTAGATTGTATTTTGGAGTACATGACTAAACATAAGTACACGTTAATGGTACTGAGCGCCATTGTACTTCTGCAATGTTGTCTGATTTTCACCCTGATCTATTATTTAACAGTGAACTGTGGATGCCGTAAAAACAAGAAAGTAGAAAACAAATATTTCAACTACAGACATGATGCATCAGTCACGACACCTTTGATTTGCACCAGTAACATTGACACGGAAACGACAGACTACCAATATTTGAGCGAATCTTCAAACTATATCGATAAAAAAATAAAATGCTACAAGGCCTGCCAAAAAGAAAGGAAGAATAACGTAAAACTAAGCATGTCTGATGATATTTTATCAAAATGTCTCACAAGAAGGGACTGGCATAGGCTACCAAGATCAGACACAATACCTGAAGTCAAAACCGATGAAGTACCTAAGGGAATAGATAGAAAGGATCTTAATTTAGACAGTAGAAAATCGACGGAGACAAAAGTCAATTTTCAAGAAGAAACACTAGACAAAAGATCGAGAAGTGTTAAAAGTAACATTAAAAAAGGTGATAATAAAATGAATAACCAGGATGACCTGAGCGATTCTTCAGAGAAAATCATCCGATGTCACAGCTTTAATTATGATGTTGGTTCTAATTTAATTGGCTACGAGAAAAGAGGGAATAAACGTTTTGGTATTTATAAAAGTGAGAAAAAAGGAGACTCTATCGAACAGGCTCAGGCTTATTTCTCTAACGATTCTATAGAGGATTTCGTATCTGAAAGAGGAGGTATATTTATCGGTGATAATGCATCTAAATATTCTTTCTCAAGCAGTTCAAGTGCTGGTAAGAGTTCAGCAACTTCTCAATCTAGTAAAACATCGAAGAATAATGTTGTCAAGAATGTTTTATCGATGCTCTCAAGAAAAGTGAAGGGGCCATCTTCAGATCCAGGTGTAAACAAGACTAAACCAGACCTAGATTTAGAATTATTGCACATTTCTAGGGTATCTATGTGTTCATCTAATAACGATTCTGATATAATATGCAAGGATTTGAAAAGAATAAAAGATTTGACTAGTTCTTTGTAGAATACTTTTGAAGATTAAAGATTGTCTATTTTCATTTTTATGAGTTTTGTTTTTTGTCTTTTTTCTTTAAGGGACACAATTTCATTATGAGTTCTTACGCTCTAGTTCGAGTGTGTTAGACTCTTGCTGACTAAAAGCCCTGTTCTCTCTCCTTCTCCGGGGCCACAGTACATTATGACGCTTGCAACCGCAACCCAGACTACCTAATTATTGCTTTAATGTTTGACTTGAATTAAAGTCCTGTCCCCTACATGTACCTAGTGCAGGGCTTTTAATGTAGTCTTCCATATTGATCGATTTTAACTTTCACGTTTTATCTCAATCCACGTCATACCGATGCTCGCTGCCGCCATCATAACAGTGTGGCGCCTGATTTGAAGGAAGTCGACCACGCTACCTTTTCCCCTGAGGATTTCAGTCCAGGAGAGTTAAAATTCAAGTTGGCGCCTCCAACAGCCATTCGACTTCCAAAGATGGCGTCCTCTATGAAACTTAAATATTATTCTCTACGCTGGCAGTATAATCGACAACACTATAACATAGTATAAAGAGAAGGGCAGTAGGCTCTCCGGCCCAATCCGCGATAATACCTACTGTCTTAGAGTTGTCGCTTATAACAAAATTTTAATTCAGTGCCTATAAATTGGCAAGGGTCGGGAAGTTGTATTTTTTACTTGTATTGTCTGTGTACAGGGTTTGTGAGGTGTGACTCTTTATGTCGCTAGATGGCACAGGCGGTAACATAGACTAAGAGCTAGTGTTAACATTATTTTTGCATTGTATTTTTTTTAGGCATGATGTAGTATTTTCACACTTAAAGGACCATATTTATTTTTAATTAATACAAACGTAAGTAATACAAATATAACTAGGTAATAAATCATACATTACAAATTAACTACCTACAGAAAAATACTTTCGGCTCTACCACACTTGTAGTTCCCACGTTCCCACGACACAAGAAAATCCTTGTGATTAAGTAAACCAAAAATATTACGACTTCTAATTATAAGTTTGAAATAGCCTTGAGATTCCTGCTCATTCTTTCTCATCTTCTCCATACGAGAAGAGGCCTTTGCTCAGTGATGGGCAGTTAAGCTAATGATAATGATGATAATGACGATGATGAGCGTGCCCCATCGTACCACATCATCGCCTACCACTAAACAAGTTGGTTGCTAAACAACGTCCTGTTAAAAACCTTTACATTACAAAAAAAAGTAAGGGGATACCTCAAGGACGGATTTTGGGTCCATCCTAAATATTTAAACGAACTCTTTTGGCAAGATTTTTTTGAATTTAAAATAAAAACCTTATCCTAAGCCTAGCTACAGATTAAATATAAGTATTGGAATCAGTCGAGCTGTTCACGTGACGCTTTGACCATGGGTTTTGATTCTTCTTTACATATCTACCTAATAAAGAGGTTCAAATTATTAAGTTTGTATGTAGGAGGCAATCTTTGCAACCGTTGCCTGTTCGGATTTCCAAAATTCTTTCATTAAAAGATACCTACAATGTTTAAGGATTCCACTGGCTATAGATTATACTTGATTTGTGTATTGTAGTCGAGCTATCGCTTTTAACAAAAAATATTTTTATGTTGGATGTTCCATTTATCCACTAAGGCTAGTAACAAGAACTTTATGAAGAAAACAAGTGAATTATATAAAAACATAATATATATTTATGCATCATAGTAATAAATGTATGTACAATATTTTATATAAGTGTAGTATCTATTTCGCTTCTTCAGATTTCTCTTGGTAGGTGACAACTCCTCTTTCAATGAGTTCTGGTATTTCGACGGCTAACCAGGGTCCAAGCTGTAAAAAAAATTATACAATGTTCATGTTTTTTTTTTAATATTGACCCGTATGATTCAACGGCATCATAGACAACCGACATGAAACAGCCTCAGCGTTGTTTCGACTTTAACAAATTTAAACTTTTAACTTTTAACTTTGACAAATTGAAAAAGTATCGAATTTGAAAAGAGTGCCTAAAATATTCTTCTTTTTTAAAAACGTTGCCCTACATGGCACTGGATTTTCTTATGGGTGCGTTTACAAACATACAATTTGTGGATCACACGAAGGGTTGTTCCGTGCGGAATACGATTACCACGACACATTGAGCGACAGCCAGATGCCCAGCCACAGCGTCAACCAAGCGGTCTTTTGTTGAAGACTAGGTTGCGTAACCACTAAATGTCATTCTTTATATTATACGTAAACCATTGGTAAGCAATCAGCGCCGTTCATGGACGACCGCAACAGCGAATTTTTGGGGATTAGGGATTTTTATTAAGTGTGGGAGAGCCATGCTTCGGCACGAATGGGTCGGCTCGACCGGAGTGATACCACGGCCTCACAGAATACCGGCGTGAAACAACCCAGCGTTGTGTTTCGCTGTGTGAGTAAGGTTACCGGAGGCCCAATCCCTCCCCTTCTCCTATCCCTTCCCGTTCTTTTTATCCGCAACCCCTATCCCTAAAAGGCCGGCAACGCGCTCGTAACTCATTTGGTGTTGCGGGTGTCCATGGGCGGCGCCGATTGCTTACCATCAGGTAATCCGTCTGCTCGTTTGCCGACTTACACCATAAAAAAAAATTGAGATTTTGGGATTAGGGGAGGAAGGATTAGGCCTCCGGTAACCTCATACCTACACTCACACGGCGAAACACAACGTAAACAAATTTGCTTGACGCCGGTTTTTCTGTGAGGCCATGGTATCATTCCTGTCGAGCCAACTCTCCCACACTTAATCTTTCTGCTCTGTGAGACTGACGATCAAACTGGAAAACTTACCCCCAAAGCCATGGCATGCGCTATACCAAACCTGGGCACATTCCGCGCCCACAACGGCTTGAAATGGTCCGTCAAGCAAATCTTGCCACCTCTGTACATTTTGGCAGTTTTTCCATCCAAACCAGGCAATGCCAACTCTGGTGCTGTAGTCGGGTAAGTTATGGGAATCTGGAATTGATAAAAATAGGCCAAATGAGATATATTAACTACCAAACTAATATACCGTGACCCAATTCGAAGCTGGAGTTGCAAAGAGTGGTTTTGGGTCAGTAAGATTCTGACACTCTTGGACCGATTTAATTTTTTTATTAATTTTTTTTTTTGGTGAAGGGAAAATCGTCAAATGGCTTCTCCCACCCAGGGTCGGGCAGGAGGGAGTGTCAGACTCTTACTGACTAAAAACTCCCCCGTTCCTTCCCCTGCTCTGGGCGGAGGCCGCGGTGCCTCATTGTGCTTAACCCGCAACCCCGGCTGAACATCAGCCCTATTGTCCCCGTCTGTGGTGGTCTATTGGCTCTTTGAGGCGCGCGGAACGCTACGCGCCGTAAGCTCGGGTCTGGTTCTGGTCGGGCGGCGAGCTACCCTTACTCGTCGTCCGCAGACCCGCGCTTACGGTGGCCGGAAATCGTCTCTCGATCCCCGACGCCCGGTGTGTCGCCTGCTACGGCGGCTGGGGCGTAGGTTGCTCTTTCAGGCAATCCACATCCTTCTTTGCGAGCGTAACTGCTTCACAAAAGGAGGAGACGGCGTCCCAGTTCCTTTCGCTTCGCACCATGGCCTTGACTAAGGTCAGGCGCGAGAGGACACGGCGGTGCTCATTTCAAGCAGGGCACACCGCCACCGTATGCTCTGCCGTGTCCTCTAACCATCATCCAATGACTGCAGAAGGAGTGTCAGACTCTTACTTACTAAAAACCACCCCGTTCCTTCTCCCTCCATGACGCGGCCCGCGATAAATCATTGCGCTTTCACCCGCAGAACTAGCCAAGCATCAGCTCTAGTCAGTCCTATTGGTGATTATACTAAACTTCGAATAATTTAATTTTGTAGTGTAGTGTACTTCGAATAATGGGCCTAAGGGAACTGTCCTTCACGCTCCATCTGCCGTCTTTGGTCACCGTAGGCGCGGGTCCGCGCGGACGACGTGTAAGGTTAGCTCGCCGTCCGATTACAATCAGACGCGAGCATAAAACGCGTTGAATTTCGTGCTTGCCTCAAGGAGCCAATATCCCTTTAAATAATCGTAAACGCAAGTGTTTTTTGAGCTTAGTTAATAATTGTGATCATTGCAAATTCGAAAAATGGAAAACGAAATAATCATTTACCTATACTCTTTCTACAACAGCTTTTCAATTTTCTTATAAATAATTTATTAAAAACAATATCAACTTACATCAAATTCTAAATCAAACTCGTACTTCAGCAGGTTGTGAACGTACCAGCACTTGCCAAACCACTTTGTACCGGTTTTATCCGATTCCAACCGGAACCAATCATTGTCAGCTGCCTTATTGTTTTGTACGTACTGAAAATAAGACATAATAATTTTATAGGTTAGATATAGATTACCAGATGATAAAAAAAACCCCATTTATGGGGATTTGGGTTGTGCAGTTAACTATAATATGGTAGTTTCCAACTAGTCAAATTCAATACTTTTATCCAACTGTCAAAAACGATACTTTTCTATGAAATTTGTATGAAAAACTGAGTTATGACAGCATAGTTTTTTTGCGTCAAATAGATTACTTATTTTCAAAAATTTGCTAAAAATATCTAAAATACAGTGTATTGATCAATCGATGAATCAAAGTATAGTTATTTTACAATATTTTATAGTATTGAAACGACTAATTAATTTATTTTTGTAAGTACATGTAAACCTGTGTCAAAATCATTTTCAAAGGTGTGATTATTCTAAGTATTTTAAAGTTTTGCAAAGTCAATATCAAAGAATATATTTGCAAATGAATATGCATACATTGCAAGTTACCTTAATAGCTTTATAAAATTATATACATGCATATGTGAATGAACTACCCACTGATAGGTTTATTAGGTACCTATAGTCAGAATTTTAATTCGATTCTTGATTTGAGATGACCTACTGTCATTTTGTGAAATAATGATACCACTTAAAACAGTGTAGTGATGAACACAAAAATCAATGAATCAGTTTTAGGAAGGCATTGAAAAAATTATGGCTACCAAATGGTCTAAATGCGTATCCCTTGTTGTCAAAGTAGAGGAAAAAATGAGTAAGCTAGATATGTTAATTGACAATAAAGTAACAGCGATAGCGATAGCGTTGACGGCGACAATTTATAAAATGTCTGTTTTATTTGTCATGTTCCTTCATGATCACATTTTTTATTAATTTCACCCAAAATTACAAAAGAAAAGTCTCAGATCGTTAATTAAATGTCAAAACTAAATTATCGATTCATAAATATTTTATTTCCTGATAAACTTAGTTTACGAGGGTAAATTTATAAACATTGATTCAAAAATATTCGATTTCTTTATCGAATAATTTCGCAACCTCACTATTTAATACGTGTCATAACGTTGCAACACTGAAATTGTCAAATCTGGAATGAAATTAAAATTCCGAGTATAGTGATTTGGCAGGTAGTTTAATTGATTCAGTATTTGAACAAATAACAGATAGGCTACAGACTTAAGTATAACAATATTACAGTAGTTAGATAACAATCAAATTAGAAATAGAGTAATAATCCTATTAATGAAGAGAAAGTCGATTTGTGTTAGATAATCTACTAGCATTGTTTATTAATTAGTTACACAATTTCACGGAAATGTGGTAATATGCATTGAAAAATTTATTTTATACTTAACAGTTTTAGAAAATATAATAATTAAAGTATCACTATAAGTAATTGGGTATCCCAAGCTAGCTCAAATATTGTACTTGTTAGAAGTTAGCAAACATACATAGTCATGTACTAATTAATAATATTACTTAGCCCCTTTTTTTATTATTATTATTTCAAATTGTACGTAAATACAAATAAAAATCAACGCTAACTAAACGTAACAAAGTCGTCTTTCCAATACAATAACAAAACCTTTTTTCTTCTCACCTTTATCAGAGCCTGGTATTCTTCTTTCAGCCTAGTAGTCCATAATTCTTTGTCTCTAGGCCCAGCTTTAGTTTGAAGCAAAGGTATACTGCTTAAAGTTTTTCTAGTACCTTCATCTACCATTGTTAAAGTTTAATTAAACTATTTCATTCTAATTCTAATTGGAAAGTTACGAAAGTTTTTTTGTGATTTACAAAATACTGCAAAATGTAAACGTGTGTCAGGCTGTCACTAAGCTGAAGTTGAGTGTCAACGTGACATTACAACAATGACGTGGAGACGTAAAGGTCTTACGCGCAAATGAAATCGACTAAAAGTACATAATATTTTGTATCTTTGATGTACTTAATTCTTTATATCTTTGTATTTGTCTAAGTGGAGTAACATTTACACACACAAATACAACGAGATAAATAATTAATTATGAACTAAAACAAAAGAGAATTCACACAGATGAATAAACATTCACATAAATAAATGGATAAGTTAAAGATAATTATGTTTTTTATGTATTAATTCAAAATATTATTATATTGAAAACATGTCTCATGCAAACGATGATTGATTTGAATTAGATTACATGATATTGAGTTGTCATGTTTATACACAATTTTTATTAATTTCATTAAATCGAATCACTTAGTATTTTGTCAGATAACTTAGTCACTATTTGATTAGTATATTCGCGCAACACTATAACTGTCAAGCGTCAAAAGAAAATAAATATCGCGATTCAGATTTTAGTGATAAAAAATCAATTTTAGCAAGAATATGGTAATTCTGTATTTGTAAATATTAATAAGAATAAATAAAGTACCAAGTGTATTAGAATAGTAATCGATAATAGTGTATTCATGTAAGTACATTTCGTTTTATCTCCAATTTATTAACTTGTGTAACAGTAAAACAATATCTGCCCATTTATTTTCATTTTAATATAAAAACATTCATTGTAATATTATTTCCTCATTAATTTGGTCCCGAATGTAGATGAATCAGCGATGTTCTCTTCACTAATACTAGTTGTATCTTCAGCATAAACTATCAAAATGGGCTCGGAACAGTCCTCGGTGCCACCAAAGAAGCAAGCTCAGAGAGCACCCCCAGTGAGAAGGGGGCATACTATAGCTGTCCCTACTATATCAGGTAAGATATTAAGATAGACAGGTATATTAAGATAATGAAACAGAGCTTCCTCCTGTAACCCTATTTTACTGTGGCCTGCAGGGTCCATAATTGATCTCTCTCAAGTTGTTCCCACCTTTATATGTATTTATGGTAAAGCAATAAAGATATTTAGTATCGACCAACGAATGTAATATAATAAACAATCAAGACGGTAGATTAAGTCCACATATAGATAACTTCATCAAGAGATAGACTGTCATCAATATCTTTAGCCTATAAGTGCCCACTGCTGATCAGAGGTCCTCATCTCACACGGAAAAGGAATGGGTATTATTGTGCACTGTCTATGTATTATTGAGTAAATAAAACACGCTAGGTAGCATTTGTTGTGTAATGACGAAATCAAGACTGTCCCATAAATATTAGGTCTACCTACACTATACTTAACTTTATATTTCAACTAAGTAAGCAAGTATCCACATAACTAAACCATACATAACAGGTATTAACCACACTTGCTCAGTGTGGATTGGCAAAGTCAAAATCAACAAACAGACAGAACATGACTGGCACTTTTGAATGTTAAACAAAGCTTCAAGATAAAAAGTGTCAGTCTGTCGGTCAGTCCTCTAGTGAAGCTATTTGCTTGTTCCAAAGTGTGGATTCCTATGGAGAAGAATGAGCAAGAAACTCCATGGTTACTTTTTTTAAATCAGTTTCACATATAGACTTTTAGTCAGATTATTAAGTCAAACTTATCTTTAGCAACCATCATCATCATCATCATCAGCCTATAAGTGCCCACTGCTGAGCAAAGGCCTCTTCTTATACAGAGAAGGTTAGGTTAGGTTAGAAATCATACAAGTATCTAAATAAAGTCACCGCCTATGAACATGGGATGCATGATTTTTTTTTAAAGTGTGGCGAATCTTGCTCCTTGTCAATGTCTCCTGCCCTGGTTTGGGGGAGAGCTACTGTCAGGCTTTTACTGAATCATCATCAGCCTCTAAGTGCCCACTGCTGAGCAAAGGCCTCTTCTCATACGGAGAAGGTTAGAGCATTAATCACCATGCTTGCTCAATGCGGGTTGGCGATTTCAAACTTATAATTGGAAATTATAAGTCCAGGTTTCCTCACGATGTTTACCTTCACCGTATGTCAGTGGTGTCTAAATAATCATAGAAAGTACATGTAACTCGGAAAAAGTCACATTGGTACTTGCCAGGTTTCGAACCCACGCCCTCATGCATGAGAAGCGGGCTCCTTAACCTCCGGGCCACCACGACTTTTTTACTGAATAATAATTAAAAATTAAAAATTTAAAAAACCCCCGACAAAAATTCTGATATTCCTTGAGTAATAATAAAAAATGTTCCATCGGGGCACAGATCCGAACCTTTTTTTTTCTACTAGTCAACAACATTCTACTCGAGTATATTTGCAGACCTTCGGTTACCCTTCCCCACTTAACTTACCCCCTCATAAATTCTAAACGGCTCAACCGATTTTCGTCAAACGTGTCTAAGAACACTCGCACGTAAGTCACCTTTAATACAAAAAAACTCTAGGATGCCACAAACAGACACAGACAGACAGACACGTCAAACTTATAACACCCCTCTTTTTGCGTCGGGGGTTACAAACTTCCCTATGGTTCCTTCCCTTCTTATGAACCGAGGCTATTCTGATTGCAACTGCAGCTTAAGCTGGACATCAACCATGTATACTGGTCTGGTGACCTTTAAGTGAGTGGAATTCGAAGGTCTGCATTCATAGTCTGGTTGTCATTAGTCTAGCTAGTCTATACTAATATTATAAAGAGGTAAAATTTGTAAGTTTGTATGTCGTGGTGGCCCGGAGGTTAAGGAGCCCGCTTCTCATGCATGAGAGTGTGAGTTCAAAACCTGGCAAGTACCAAAGTGACTTTTTCCGAGTTATATGTACTTTCTATGGTTATTTAGACACCACTGACATACGGTGAAGGTAAACATCGTGAGGAAACCTGGACTTATAATTTCTAATTATAAGTTAGAAATCGCCAACCCGCATTGAGCAAGCGTGGTGATTAATGCTCTAACCTTCTCCGTATGAGAAGAGGCCTTTGCTCAGCAGTGAGCACTTATAGGCTGATGATGATGTATGTAGGGGGTAATCTTTAGAACCGCTGGACGGATTGCCAAAATTCTTTCATTGATAGATAGCTACAATGTTCCTGAGTGCTATAGGCTATAAAGCATCACGCTAGGATTAAATGGAGCTGCGCGGGAGTAGCTAGTCTTAAATAAAAGTTGTGCTTAATTTCAGACCCTACGAGAACCAATGATTTACCAGCCAGCGGTAACAATTCTCCGGGAACGAGTATCTGTTCTGATTCCGAGTTACCATACATATCTTATACTGTGGATCGACCTATCGGAGGTAAGCTGTGGATTAGTATATACTGCATTGTTGATTTGATTTGATCCACCACAGATGGGGCTATATATATATATATATATAGGGCTGATGTTCAGCCGGGATTAAGGCCCAGAGCAGGAGAATGAACAGGTTTTTTAGTCAGTTGAGTCTGACACTAAAAATCTGCCTTGCACTCGTAACATGATTGCTTACCATCAGGTAATCCGTCTGCCCAACAGAATACCGACAGTTCTATAATGCTATCTCCATTCCAGACTCACCAAAAGCCTCAGCCAAGACTCAGCGCAGTACTGACAGTAAGAAGTCGATGCTACAACGCCGCCAGCTAAGCCTCCAGGCTCGTAAAAACAAGCGAGCCAGGGATATTGTAGTAGTCAAGCAAGCGACTGATGTGCAACTCGATGAAGATATACAGAGATTGCAGGTGAGGACTCATCCCCAAATCTCCAAACACACAATCTCCAAAAACACCAATCTCCAAACCACCCAAACTCCCAATACGCATTACCCAATCCCAATCCCCCCCCCCAAGCCCACACCTTATATCCCAATCCCCAACCCCTACTACGCACCCCAATCACCAATACCCAACCCATACCCCAATTCCCAGTTAATATTCTCAAAGACCAATCCCCAATCCTCAATTGAAAACGCCCTCGACACACTTGTACTTCGGGTGTCCAAAGACGGCGCCGATCGCTTACCATCAGGTAATCGATCTGGCTTGTTTCCGATATCATCATCATCATCATCATCAGCCGGAAGACGTCCACTGCTGGACAAAGGCCTCCCCCTTGGCTCTCCACGTCAAACGACAAGTTGCCACCTGCATCCATTGGCTCCCCGCGACTCTGACGATGTCGTCGGTCCACCTAGTGGAAGGCCTGCCCACACTACGTTTTCCGGTCCTTGGTAGCCACTCTAGGACTTTTCGGGCCCATCGACCGTCCGTCTTTCGAGCGACGTGGCCTGCCCATTGCCACTTTAGCCTGCAGATTTTACGAGCTATGTCGGTGACTTTGGTTCTTTGGCGAATTTCCGATATATCACATAGAAAAATACATTTCTAATGTTACAGGAGATACCAACATTCCTGCCGATCATGCGAGGTACCCTCGGTCTACCTGGTGCCAGAGATCCTGAAGTCTTAGAAGGTCAGATTCAGATCACTATACTAATATTATAAAGAGGTAAAATTTGTAAGTTTGTATGTAGGGGGTAATCTTTGGAACCGCTGGTCGGATTTTCAAAATTAGTTCACTGATAGATAGCTACAATGTTCCCGAGTGCTATAGGCTACAAAACATCAAGCTACGATTAAATAGAGCCGAGCAGCGGGTGAAACCGGGCGATAGTAGCTAGTATGGTATAAAACAAAGTCGCTTTCTCTGTCCCTATATCCATGTGTATGTATGCTTAAATCTATAAAACTACGCAACGGATTTTGATGCGGTTTTTTAAAAGATAGAGTGATTGAAGAGGAAGGTTTATAATAACATCTATGTATAATAACATCCGTTAAATAGTGGAGAAATCTTGTTCTAGCATTGCGAAGTCGGGACGGGTCGCTAGTATATATGTATAAAGGGTATCATTTGACGGCACGATTGGCGCTTTGGCCGGGCAACTGGCAGCCGCGCAATGTGGGTTCGATTCCCGTACGGAACAACTCTTTGTGTGATTCACAAATTGTTATTCCGGATCTGGGTGTGATGTGTATGTGAAATTGTATGTTTGTAAACGCACCCACTACACAAATCCAAGTGTTTTTCTAAGAAGGAAAAGAAATAGATAAATAATGTAATTATTTGACATAATGTATGACTGGGTTACACGTTAACCTTCAGCCGGGGTTGCGGGGTAAGCGCAATGAGGCACCGCGACCTCGACCCAGAGCAGGAGAAGGAACAGGGGAGTTTTTAGTCAGTAAGAGTCTGACACTCCCTCCCGCCCGGCCCTGGGCGGGAGAAGTCATTTGATGATTTACCCCTCAAAAAAAAAAACACGTTATCCAAGTTTCTATAAATGTATTCTGTAAAAAAATAATTGTAATTTGTAACTGTTTTAGACCCAATAAAGCAAAATAAAATAAAATTGTTGCCTAGGTCTAGACTACAGGCCCTGGGTCCGTGTAACGACCAGACTGCAGGCCCATTTAGCAGCCTGCGCTCATCCGCTGGCCACTATCGAAGGCGGGCTAGCATCCAAAATAAAAGAGGTACTGTGTTTAGTAATTAATTTTGATTAAATTATATGTTTTTATGTGATAAGTAGACAAAAGAGGTGAGGAGAGGTGATTGCCTGATGGTAAGCAATCAGCGCCGCCTATAAGCACTGGAGGAGTTACGAGTGCATTACTGGAAAAAGGGGAAGGATTGGGTCTTCGGTAACCTCACTCACACGGCGAAACACAACACTGCTTCTATCACGCAGGTTTTCTTCTGTGAGGCCGTGGTATCACTCACGTCGACCCATTCGTGCCTAAGAATGAATCTGCCACACTTAAGCATGGCCCAGTGGTGCGAAACCGCGTTATTACGAGCTTTTATTTTAATTGTATAACTGGAGTGATACCACGGCCTCGCAGAAAGCCGTCGGGAAACAAAACTTATATTGTGTTGCGCAACCCCCATCATCAACCCCCAAATGACCAGATACTGAATTCATTAACCGTCAAAAAGCGAGAAAAGCTCTTGAAATTCCTTAGTATTAAAGTGTCTGCCTCAAAGACTACCACAGACGGGGCTCAATCGGGTCTGCGGACGGCGAGTAAGGGTAGCTCGCGGCCCGACCAGAACCAGACCTGAGCGTACGGCGCGCGCGCCTCAAAGACCCAATAGACCACCACAAACGAGGACTATAGGGCTGATGTTCAGCCGGGGTTGCGGGGTAAGCGTTTAGAGGTATGAGAGAACAGTGAAAAGTTCCTCATCCTCTATTGAAAAGGGAGGATCCTCCGACCAGACGAGGAGTTCATGCCTGGTGGGCTACTGCCCGACGGTTGTTTTCGGTTTTTTTGTATCGGTTCTAATTGCGTTGAGAATTTTTATACCGCGATGTAGAATCTTGCACGTGATTGGTGCTGTTGTTCTTGTTGTGCGATAGATGTCGCTACAAGCGCAATGAGTCACCGCGGCCCAGAGCAGGAGAAGGAACGGAGAGGTTTATAGTCAAAAAGAGTCTTATACTCTCTCTTGCCACAACCTGGGCGACATTTGATAATTTTTTTACCCGGACAAAAAAAGCGAAACAACGCTGTGGTTATTTCACGCCGGTTTTCTGTGAGGCCGTGGTATCACTCCGGTCGAGCTGACCCATTCGTGCCGAAGCATGGCTCTCCGACACTTTATTTGATGACGATTTACCCTTACAAAAAACGCATAAAAATGTGCTTAAAAAGACATTCATTATAATACCAAATTTCTATGATTAAAAATTCACACATAGGTAACTGACCTGCGCAACATTTTTTAGTTTTGTAATATGAATGCGGTATTTAGTAAAACCGGTTTGAGTATATTTTGAAAAATTTAATCTAGATGCTTGCTTGCTATTCAAGGCGATGAAGTCTATTTTTAGACAAGACATTATTTTGTTACGTATTATTATTCAAGAGATTATTGTATTATAGAGTTTTTATATATATAGAAGCACTCTTTTAGATTTTGCATTTTGGAGCGTGTGCTCAGGAATTTCACGATTTGATTCCGCCATCCCAATTTCACCTTCGGACATCCTGGCGTACGGCGAATATCCACCCTTACGTTGTTGAGACACCTGCGGCCCGGACTAAGCGTTTTGCCTCGTCATTTATACCGCGTACATCGAGGGATTCGAACAGTTTGCCGGCTGCAGTCTTTCCGTCCGAATACAATTTAGGTGTCTTCAAGGCTAGAGTGAATAGGCTCTTAATAAACTAGTGCGCCTTACCATCAACGATTGCATCACTGCTTACCATCAGGTGAGATCGCAGCCAAGCACTAGTTTATTGCAAGTAAAAAAGTACGCAAATTTTAATTATAGATCCTTTATTTTATTACAACTTGTCTCTGCATTGTTCTCACATAAGGGTACAATAATGTCATACTAAATGAAATTGTAAAACAAATATTATTTTTTAAAAGAGTAACGATGGAGTTTCTTGCTCGTTCTTCTCCATTCGAATCTACACTTCGGAACGACACCTAGCACTGACGAACAGACTGACAGACTACTATTCTGTTTTGACGTTTCAAAAGTACCTATTTATGGTTTAGTTGGAATAAATTATTTTGACTTTGACGTATGTACCTACGTCTGTGAAGTGCAATCTTGCTACTAAATTTTGAGTGAGATATCTTCAACACATTGAGCTGTGTTTCTGTATACACGTGTAGTTTGCATTACAATAAATGCTAAGTTGTATGACGTCACTATAAATACATAATAATGTTTCTAAGTGTTTAGATCCGGGACTTGTTGATTCAGTTAATAAAACAATTGTTTTAAAACGATTTTGATTAATGACAGTGCGCGCTAGATTCTTTCCCCTGATTCATATTCAAATAGAGAAGTGAATTATTTTATAACAAAATTCAGTACATAGTAAAAAATAAAATTATTTCGACATTTGATTGCAATGCATTTAAGTGTGGGAGAACCATGCTTCGGCCACGAATGGGTCGGCTCGACCGGAGTGATACCACGGCCTTATAGAAGACCGGCGTGAAACAATCACAGCGTTGTGTTTCGCCGTGTGAGTGAGGGTACCGGAGGCCCAATCCTTCTCCGCCCCCAATCCCTCCTCAATCCCTAAATCTCCAAATCCCTATACCCTAAAAGGTTGGCAACGCACTCGTAAATCCTCCGTTGCGGGTGTCCATGGGCGGCGCTGATTGCTTACCATCAGGTAATGCGTCTGCTCGTTTGCCGACCAATTACATAAAAAAAATTAATAATAAAAAAATCTGACTTAACTTCGGTTTTTGAAAGCCTTTTCAATTCATTGATTAACTTACACTGCGATTAATTTGACATGACTGTCAAATCAATTTGAGTTTCTGACATCCGGTTACTGAAAGGCTTGTCAACGCTAAAATTAACTAATCGCCTGTTAAATATCTTGTCAAGTGTCAATTGGGATCTTTATTTAAAAGAGCTTATTTGCAATTACAAATACACAAACGACGCTCCGTCCACAAAGCAAAAATTTATTAAGATATTTAAAAAAGAAAAATTAAGGCAAAGATGATCTCTGCCTTAGACCCTCTTGTCAATTGGTCATTGTTCATTGTCACTTAAAAGACTTCATCATCATCATCATCATCATATCAGCCACAGGACGTCCACTGCTGAACATAGGCCTCCCCCATTGACATCCAGATAGGCCGGTTGGAAGCGACCTGCATCCAGCGGCTTCCTGCGACCTTAATCAGGTCGTCTGTCCACCTTGCGGGTGGACGTCCTACGCTGCGCTTGCCGGTTAAAACTCTTACCTATCAAAATTTTTAAAAAGAAGTTAGTAAAACTGCTACTGGACAAGTGTTACTATTCGATACAAGAATTCTTTAATGACAAATCCTTCCGTTGAGGGTGTGGACGCAGCTTCCTTCTTGTGTAATTTACTGACATTCTATTTTTGTTAAACAAGTCTTTAATGTTATTTTTTGTTTCTGTAATGGAATTTATTTTGAATTTTCTGACTTATCTGGAGTAATTAATAACTGACATGTAATTTGTTTTTGTATTGAAAGAAAGAAAGAAAGAACAAACAAAAGAATCTTTGTATTAGGTACTTATTATTTAATAATTGTACAAAATTTTCAAATTTTAGTAATTTTATTTATTTATTTATTTAATATCTTTATGCACAAAACAAATGTACAAAGGTGGGCTTAATGCCATGGGCATTCTCTGACAGCCAAACCTTTGGATGATGCAGAGGTAAATATAAAGGTGCACAAAACAAGCATCATCAGAGATGTTATAAATACATATTATATACTGTAAATATACATACATATGCTTATATATATATACATACATACTATATATTACATATACAACAATAATATAATTACATATACTACTTAAAATTATACATAATTATATTTTATATAATATTATATAAATATTATATTATATAAAATATATATTAATATATATTTTATATAATTATATTTTATATTACCTATATTCCTTCAATTACGTAGATTATCACACCATATTAAATTTGTATGCCTCCTAGCATTACATAGCGCTCTGTGTCAACAACATTATAATATCTGTATTCTATTCACCTATGTTAACAAATAAATGATTTGATTTGATTTGCATAAAGCATGATTAATCAACTAATTTGATCATCATGTCAGTTGACATGGCTGTCAAATCAACTCAAAAATCGAATGGTTATCGCAATTTTGGGTTTCTGAAACGCTGGTCAAGCCGTGATCATATTCTACAAGCCATAGATTTGTGCGATAACCATTCGATTCTTGAGTTGATTTGGCAGCCATGTCAATTGACGTGATGATCAAATTAGTTGATTAACCATGCTTTATGCAACCCAATTGACACTTGACAAGAGATTTAACAGGAGATTAGTTAATTTTAGGGTTGATCAGCCTTTCAGAAACCGAGTGTTAGTGTGGGAAAGACTCTTCGAGGGGAGACGGCAGGCTCGAACGGAGTGATACCACGGCCTCACAGGATACCGTCGTGAAACAACCACAAATTTGTGTTCCGCCGTGTGAGTGAGGTTACCGGAGGCCCAATCCTTACCCCCACCCAGTCCGTAAATCTCAAAATCCCTAATCCCCAAAAGAAATCAACTTAAATCCTTTTCCAAAAGCCGTTATTTAGAACATATGCCGTCTTACTCGTAAATTTTTAAATGCCTAAGCTACAGCATTTGGCTTCGGCCAGTGCCTATTTTAACCCCACTTGATGGGACACATGCTAAAAGCACAGCAGTATTATAATAATATTATCCTACCCAACAGGCCGATCAAGAAATATCTCGCCTCTATTCACAAATGGTGGATAAGCAGAGAGCTAACGCTCGACACGCGGAACGATTGGCAAGAGTGCATGAAGTATCACATCAACTGTCCAGATGCAACTCCTTACTGCAACAGGTAAATACAGAATCATCATTTTTTTATTTTATTTTATTATAAAGGTACTCCAACGACTTATTCACTATAACATATAACATAAAAGTCAAAAAGTCAAAGTCAAAAATCATTTATTTCAATTAGACCACAGTAGGCACTTTTGAACGTCAAGCAAGCAAAAAAGGAAAAAAGTATATAACAAGAGCTTTAAAATTAAGCGTGTCAGTCTGTCCGTCTGTCCTCTAGTGAAGCTATTTGCTCGTTCCAAAGTGTAGATTCCTATGGAGAAGAACGAGCAAGAAACTCCATGGTTACTCTTTTTCAATCAGTTTTACAATACATTTCTTTGTTACATCATTTAGTCGGTTCTGATATGTGAGAACAATGTAACACTAATGTTCAGGCAAAAAGTACGAAAAAGAAGTGAACCTCAAGAACAACATAATTAGACAGCCTGGAGTGACAGCCTGTGAAACAATAGTACATAGATTATCATGGTGAATTTGTCACTTAAAGAAGTACACAGCTTAAACATAAATAAAATGTGTAACTATGAGATCTGTTTCAAATTAAAATTAAGAAATAAATATGAAGTAGGTACTTAAAAATATTTTAGGAGGACGTTAATAAATAAATTAGAAACAATTTACGAATTCTTTACAAGTAAACAATGGATAATTAGATGCATTAAAGAATAAAAGTGATTATTATTGGGAAAACGACTGCAATAAACGTTATCAAAGTATTATGAGTGGGTAGCGAGCTTAAGCTTTTTGCGATATTGATAAAATGTGTCCGCGAAGATGTCAATGTTGCTGTTTATTTTATTATAGTTAGCCACCGGTCGGTTCATTGGGGCACTGCGACCAAGGTTTGTTTCAGATAGGGACGGAGCCAAAATATCTGTATTGCGTACAGACCTATTCATAGTTCGCCTAGGTACAGAGATATTGATTTTAGATAATAACTCTGGAACATCGGATCGATTGTGAATAATTTTATAAAGAAATATCTGATCGGAGTGACATCTACGTTGTTCCAGAGATATCATATTGAAATGATTGAGTCTCATCAGCCTATAAGTGCCCACTGCTGAGCAAAGGCCTCTTCTCACACGGAGAAGGTTTGAGCATTAACTACCGCGCTTGCTCAAGGCGGATTGGTGATTTCAAACTTATAATTCGTTGTGTAGTTTGTTTGTTACTCTTCCACGTAAAACTACTGAACGGATCTGAATCTAATTTGGCACAGAGATAGATTATAGTCTGGAATAACACGTGGCGCACGTCTCTGATCGCAGGTGAAGCAGCTGGCAGAATCTTATACCAAAAAAAACTTTATTGACAGATTCTATTTGAGAATATTACCTACTTACTAACCTTTTTTATATTGTTTCAGACTTTACAGGATATAGAAGAAATTAATGCACTTCTTCCAGAAGAGAAACGTTTAGAACCATTTGTGTGGAGTTCAGAATAGTAGGTTACAAATTAAATCTAGGTCTGGGGACCTAAGTAAGTGTGTCGCCTGGACAGTCAACCTCGCTACATCCTGGTTGACTGGACATCTACACTACATGAGCTGCTGTTTACATGTGAACATTAGCTCATGACGATACCTAAGTACGTGTGTCGCCTGGACAGTCTACCTCGCTACATCCTTGTTGACTGGACATCTACACTACATGAGCTGCTGTTTACATGTGAACATTAGCTCATGACGATACCTAAGTACGTGTGTCGCCTGGACAGTCTACCTCGCTACATCCTTGTTGACTGGACATCTACACTACATGAGCTGCTGTTTACATGTGAACATTAGCTCATGACAATACCTAAGTACGTGTGTCGCCTGGGCAGTCAACCTCGCTACATCCTTGTTGACTGGACATCTACACTACATGAGCTGCTGTTTACATGTGAACATTAGCTCATGACGATACCGGGCGAAGCCGGTATGGGTTATAAATGTAAACGCTTAGATATTGGATAAAATGAAATTTATTACAAATATGTCACGCGATTAGCTCTTGTATCTCTAAAAAATTAATATTATAAAGGTTTGTTTTGAGGAAGGAAAATCACCAAATTACTTCACTCGCCCAGGGTATGGCAAGGATTGTCAGACTCTTACTGACTAAAAACCCCTCCGTTCCTTCTCCTGCTTAACGCCGAGGATGCGGTACCTTATTACGCTTGACCCTGAACCCTGGCTACATATTGCCTCACATTGTGGTCCTCACAATGACGACACTCGGACGTTTCCTCCCACCGGATCCGATACAGGAACCTACCGAAGCTGCCGTGCCCGGTAAGCACCTGCGTCAGGCGGAAGGTGAGGACGCCGTGGCGTCTCTCAAGCCACTCCTCAAAGAGGGGTCTTACCGCTGCTATAGTAGCGTGCCCGGCCCTCGGTTGCGACAGACGCTGCTTCCACTCAGCCATGAGATCTCGCCGGAGCTCATTCCGCCACGCACTAATTTGGCGCGGCAGAGGATCCTCGCCCTGGCGACGCGCGTCTGCGCGCAAACTGTAAACGCGCGCGAGCGCCTTCGCTTCCTGATTCCATGGCGGTGATCCGGCAAGGAGGTTCGGCGCCTCACCGGAGATCGTGCGATATCCGCGGATTGTCCGAATAGCCATGACCCTCTGGGACGCGACCAGCGTACGAGCTGGCCGCCGCCTCAAGTCCGGCGCCCACACAGGGGCCCCGTAGAGGGCCATGGATCGCACAATCCCCATATATAACCTCCAGCAGGAGGCGTTTGGCCTCCCCAGGTTGGGAAGCTTGCTTGCGAGGTTTGCTTGATCGCGGCCCCAGTACGTTCCAACTTGGGAGCCATACGACGCAAATACTCCGTGAAGTTCCACCGGCTGTCGAGGACGAGACCCAGGTACTTCATCGCCGACTCGACACCGATGATTTTTATAAAGACTAAGATCTCAACTAATATTTTAAGTGTATCATAATTATGTAATTAATAAAATAATTATTTGTATATAGAGGAGTACTTATGTTGTTTTATTTTTCTTTGTAACCTTGGCAAACTAGCAGACCGATTACCTGATGGTAAGCAATCAGCGCCGCCCATGGACACCCGCAACGGAGGAGTTATGATTGCGTTGCCGACCTTTTAGGGATTAGGGTTTTGGAGGTTTGGGATCTGGGGAGGGGAAGGATTGGGCCTGCGGTAACCTCGCTCACACGGAGAAACACAACGCTGCGGTTCATCAGCAGATCACGGCTCAAACACACTCAAAATACATAAATACCTCGAAACTTATAAAAGACAATAGGTATTATTTATAAAGACAATACAAGACCTGTGAGTTTGTTTTCTTTTTTAAAAGACAATGTGAATAGGTAGTTACTTTTTTGTACTTATGTAGGTAATTTAGATTCAGAATACGAATTAAGTACCTACCTATATAGGTTTTAATCTTAAGTATGACGTAAAAAATCCTATAACGTCAGAGTAATATTGTAAGTACAAAATATTTTTTATGTTATGGGTTGGCAAACAGTCTGATTACCTGATGGTAAGCAATCAGCGGCGCCCATGCGGCGTCCAATCTCCAAGGAGTTACCAGTGCATTGCCGGCAGTCTAAGAATAAGGGTTTTGGATATATCAGGTTTGGGGCTAGGAAAAGGATTAAAATTCCAGTAACCTCACCCACACGGCGAAACACAAAACTGTGGTTGTTTCACGCCAACTTTCTCTGAGGCCGTGGTATCACTCCGGTCGAGCCGACGCACTCGACCTTGAATGTACAACGATATACCAAGGTAAACACAGAATAACTCTTAGCCCAACGGTCTTGATTGCGACTCTACTTGACACCATGAGGTAACCGGCTCCATTACACAATACCTACCTAATCTTACCGCTCTGTTGAGTTAAAAATAAATGTCTAATGAGTCTCAAATTTTTAAATATTGCAAATACGTTGTGTTAAGTAAAATTTTCGTGTCAAGGTTGACACCTTAGGCCTATCGTGAACCATGTTTTAGTCATATGAGGTAGGTATGTATTTTTTTTTATGTCACCCGTCCGTCGTGTTGGTTTTTAGATTGTTTACATAAAGCATAGTAGGTATCTATAACCTCTCTTTATACTTTGCCTAAAGAGCTTGATTCTCCTAAATGAGGGTGCAGTTTCGAAACCTAGCAATTATTAATGTGACTTTTTCCGAGTTATATGTAGGTAAGTACTTACCTACTTTCTAATAAGTATTATTCACTGATCAACGGACATCACTGATAAAGGGTGAAGGAAAGCCAAATTCTTGAGTCAAAAATGTCAAAAATCATTTATTTGAATTAGACCCTTACAGGCATTTTTGAACGTCAAACATAATTTTGAAGATAATTAATTATAGTGTCAGTCTGTCGGTCAGTCCTCGCTTTTTGCTCTTTTTAAATCAGTTTCACATACAGATTCCTTTTACAAACAGTTGGTTCAATTATGTGAGAACAATGTAACACTAATATTTATTCATAGAAACCTGGAATTATTTAAAGGTACGGCCATTTTACAAAAGAAGGTTTTTCTTTAGTTTTAGTCTTAACCATTGAGCCATTTTTTGTAAGTATTTCAAATTGAATGTAGGTAGGTAATAATAATAATAAAATTTATTTATCCACAGTTACATAAAGTTTGCCTTAAAGTTAGTTACTATTAGGTACAATTATTTGTTGTAACTTGGTGTTGTAGCGGACATTGCTTTTTGGAACGGCGGTCCCCAAACTAGGCAAGGCCTGTATCTTGGGTTCCCGAGTTGTGGTTACCAAAGAACCTAAGTAGAAAAGTCGGTCGGGACATTGAATATTGAAATTTACTGTCGGTACTTACCTATCTATATATGTATAATGTATATATTTTTTTATCAATACACACGTGTATTATACGACGTTTTTCAACACACTTCTGAATAAAATAATACTAAAATAAAAAACCAAAATAACTTCAAATCAAAAGAAAAAAACGAGGCGAGTTGTCAAAAATGTTTCGTAATGGCGGGAAAATTAATCAGTTTTACTATGCGCACGCATCGGCCATAGACTAAAAATGAGGTTTCTTTTTTTTTGGGCTTATATCGCGGATAGCATTTTAGCGAAAATGTAAGCGAAACTCAAGCAAAATAAATGAAAACTCTATTACTCACGACTTGTATAGATCCTAATAGAAATGAAAAGTCACAGTTTGATTATAGGTGTCATTATATCCCTAATTGCCGTGAGATAAGAGCCATTTTACGAGGAAGTGTGTAAAAAAAAATATTTTTATATTTAATGAAACACACAACGAGAACGAATTTAAATCAGTTGTCAACCCCAGTGTTGCCATAGAGAAAAAACTTATTGTTAGTCATATAATTATGCTTAGTTGGTAAGCCTAAATAAAAAAACCGTCTGATCCTATGCCTCCTGACTCCTGTTCCATAAAAAAGTTACTTCAATGAATAAACCTATGCCAATACTCGTTCAAGGTCAAGTACCTATTGATAGTAGATAATCCTGATATAGTACACTAGCTACTCTCGCGCGGTTTCACCCGCTGCTCTGCATATCATAGCGTGATGTTTTATAGCCCATAGCCTTCCTCGGTAAATGGATTAACAAACAATGCCTGCACGATTGGTGCGGTGGCTGGGCAACTGGCTGCCGCGCAGCGTGTCGCGGTGGGATTCCCGTAAGGAACAACTCTTTGTGTGATCCACAAATTGTTGTTCCTGGTCTGAGTGTGATGTGTATGTGAAATTGTAAGTAGGTATGTTTATAACTGCACTCAAGACACAGGAGAAAATCCAAGTGTGGGGCAGCCTTTTTTAAAAGAAAAAACTCAAAGAAGAATTATTTATTTCGAACCAGTATTTCCGGAGATTAGGGCGTTCAAACAAACAAACTGTTTAGCTTTATACCTAATATTAATATTAAAGTATAGATTCTAATATCACCAGCCTATAAGTGCCTACAGCAAAACAAGGCACAGGTTCGGAGTATTAGGTAATCACCACGCTTGCTCAATGACGCTTGCACAAATTCAAACCCATAATTAGAAATTATAGTCTAAGTGTGGGAGTGCCAAGGTCGTCGACCGGAGTGATACAACGGCCTCACAGAAAACCGGCGTGAAACAACCACAGCGTTGTGTTTCGCCGTGTGAGTGAGGTTAGGTGGTCCAATCCCTCTACATACCCCCAATCCTTAAATATCCGAAACCCTTTCTTTATGTAATAAGTCGGCAAACGAGCAGACGCATTACCTGATGGTAAGCAATCAGCGCCGCCCGTGGACACCCGCAACGGAGGAGTTACGAGTGCGTTCCGACCTTTTAGGGATTAGGGATTTGGAGATTTAGGGATTGAGGAGGGGTCCGGGAAGGGGAAGGATATCCCTTATCCCTAAAAGGCCGGCAACGCTAACTTCTTTGGTGTTGCGAAGATCCATGGGCGGCGTTAATTGCTTACCATCAGGTAATCCGCTAATCAGTGTTGTCTTAATAATCTTAGAAAGTATATACCTACTTGTACACGTGACTCAGACTCGGTATTCGTCACATTGGTATTTGCAAAGTTTTGAACACGATGCAACGACGTACGTAATATACTTGTACATAAGTATACTAGCAGACCGCCCCTGCTTCGCACGGGTACCCGTCTACTCTGGTCATAGTATAAAGAAAAAAGGAAGTAGGTTATATTCATACAAACGCACCGCGCGCGGCTTGAATGTGTGCGCCATAGTATCTATGCGTCGATGCACGCACACTATAACAATATCTCGACCCGTTTCTCAGTGCGCCAGTCGGGGCTAACACTGCACGAGGTTCGCACGTCACTGTTTTTCGGCACCGCTAAATCAAAACAAAATATCTGATAATCGCAGGAGACTGTATTGCTGTGTATTAGTTAAAAGTAAATAGGTATGATCCTTTATGTTTAAAAATACTACATTATGCCTAAAAAAATACAATGAGAAAATAATGTTAACACTAGCTCTTAATCTATGTTACCGCCTGTGCCATCTAGCGACATAAAGAGTCACACCTCACAAACCCTGTACCCAGACAATACAAGTAAAAAATACAACATCCCGACCCTTGCCAATTTATAGGCACTGAATTAAAATTTTGCTAAAAGTGACAACCCTAAGACAGTAGGTAATTACATCGCGGATTGGGCCAGAGATAGCCTAGTGCCCTTCTCTTTATACTATGCCCTGGTCATTTGTTTTGCAAGCGAACGGCCGCGGCGTAGTAAGGGTTCCTAATTACCGCTATTCTTCTTTACATTTCTAAAGTTTTCTTTCGTAAGAACCTTCTCCTTATAATAACGAAAAAAAAAATTAAGTGTGGGAGAGCCATGCTTCGGCACGAATGGGCCGGCTCGACCGGAGTGATACCACGGCCTCACAGAAAACCGCCGTGAAATAACCACAGCGTTGTGTTTCGCCGTGTGAGTGAGGTTAACGCAGGCCCAATACCGCCCCTTCCCCTATACCTTCCCGATCCTTATATCCATATCCGCAACCCCTAATCCCCAAAAGGCCGGCAACGCACTCGTAACTCTTTTGGTTTTGCGGGTGTCCATGGGCGGCGCCGATTGCTTACCGCATGCTCGTTTGCCGACTTATACCATAAAAAAATAGCAAAATTGGTCCAGGCGTTATTGAGTTATGCGCTTACCAACATATTTTGCGATTCATTTTTATATTATAGATTTTCACTATGTCTCGTGTTTGTTTATTCAAACAATAATTTAATACATTCTTATTACTAATTTTTACTAATTTTAAATTTAATGATCGACTAACGTAACTGTTATACGATCTGAACTCGAAACTAGAGTTGCCTCTAATGTTGGCCGAAAGCCGAATATTCGGAGGCCGAATATTATTTGGTGAAAGAGATAAAGAGGTTGATTTTTTGTATTGTGATAGGACGTCAAACGGGCAGAGGTATTACCTGATAGCATGGACACCCGCAACGATAGGGATTAGGGATCTAGAGATTTACGGATTGCGTAGGAATTAGGGATTAGGCATCCGGTAAACACGACGAAACAACACTCTTAAATTGTTGAGAAACAATTCGACTTAATTGAAAGGCTAGACAAATTGATCCTTACAAAGAAACATAATATCGAAACCTTTCGACTTTTGCCAATATATTGCGTTTCTTCTTCTGGAAGCAGAGCATACGGTAAGAGCTTCTTAGGAAGCTGGTATAGTTTATCTATACTAATATTATAAAGAGGTAAAATTTGTAAGTTTGTATGTAGGGGGTAATCTTTGGAACCATCACAGCTTATCCATACTATCCAAACTAATATTATAAATGCGAAAGTAACTCTGTCTGTCTGTCTGTCTTTTCTTCACGCCTAAACTACTGAACCGATTTATTAGAAATTTGGTACAGACATAGTTTGAAACTCAAAAAAGGACATAGGATAGTTTTTAAACCAAAGTCGCGGGCAAAAGTTAGACATTGATAAATTTTAATTCTAATGCAATGTGGTGTAAGTTGGTAATAATTCAAGAGCAAAAACTATTGTTTGTCAAATTCTTACGTATGTATCTTAGTTGGTAAGCCTTGGTAAAATAAATAAATCCACATAATCTTAAAAGAGAGACGTGTCTTTAAGAAACGCTTTGGTATTCGGCGAATACCAAATGTAGGTAACTATTATTCGGCCGAATTACCACACAACAAAAACAGAGGCCGAATATGCCGAATACAGAATACCTAACATCCGAATATTCACGCCAACTCTACTCTACTACACGTTACGATAAAAATACAAAAATAAAACCAAACCATTTTAAATATGTTCTATTTATGTTAATTATATACGGATAACATTATTAATATAGATTTTTTCTAATTTTAGATCTAGACGTCATTCTTTTCTAGATCTTTCTGTCTGTATCAAACTGTGTAATAGTGATGATATTTGTATGATGTCTCTCTCATAGGTCAATTAAAAACTTTAAACAGGTATTTTATCTACTAGCTTTTGCCCGCGACTTAGTTCGCGTGGAATAGTGACTTCCTGAAGAAAAACTATCCTATGTCCTTTCTCGAGTTCCAAACTAAGTCTGTACCAAATTTCACACAAATAGGTTCTGTAGTTTAGGCGTGAAGAAAAGACAGACTGACAGAGTTACTTTCGCATTTATAATAATAATAATAGTTTGGAAGTTTGGATTAACGAATTAAATACTTTTCATAATAACTATATTGATTCAGTATTAAACGAAGTAGATCGCATCGAAAATAAAAATATTCGAATCTAGCTACTCTCTAACGATTTCACCCGCTGCTCTGCTTCCTTTGATCGTAGCGTGATGTTTTATAGCCTATAGCACTCAGGAACATTGTAGCTATCTGTCAGTGAAATAATTTTGGCAATCCGACCAGCGGTTCCAAAGATTACCCCCTACATATAAACTTACTAATTTTACCTCTTTATAATATTAGTATAGATAAGTAGGATAAGTACCTTGTTTATTTTTAATATTTAAGGGGGGAAATCATCGAGTGACTGGACTTGCCCTGGGTGGGGCGTTAATATAGAGAGAGTATCAGATTCTTTTCGCCTTATTACAAAACCAGATTCATCTTTAGTCTAAGTTTAAACCAGTGAGTCAGGTTTTGTATTTTGAATCTTATCCTCATCAAACTTCAATCTATACTAATATTATAAAGAGGTAAAATTTGTAAGTTTTTATGTAGGAGGTAATCTATGGAACCGCTGGTCGGATTGCCAAAATTCTTTCACTGATAGATAGCTACAATGTTACTGAGTGCTATAGACTATAAAACATAACGCTACGATCAAATGACAACGCGAGACAGAAGCTAGTTTAAAAGACAAAAACTGGTCCAATTGTTTAAAACAAAAATACTGTTTTTAATAACCCTATTACTGAATAAACATCTTGTTACGTTTAGAATTAAGGATTTGGGCTCCAGTAAACTCACTCACACAGCGAAACACATCGTAGATGTTGTTTCACGGTTTTCCATGAGGCCGTGGTATCACTCCAGTCGAGTCGGCTACCGAAGTTGAAAATGAGTTTTTATAAGCAAGTATTATTGCAGCTAAGTATTTTTTAAGCAAGTCAGTCTTATATGGGGCGCTTTAAGATTAATAACACCCCCCTTTTTTAAAATAATAGAAATAATACTGAATATAGGACGTCAACAGGATAAAAATATTGAAAATAAAAAATCTATTTACTCCGTTAGGTAGATATTGAATAAAAAAATATTCAAGAAATACGTAGATATTTTGTTCTTTTTTATATAAAAAAAAAAACAATTCTTAGATAAATAGCATTACATCACATTCGAAGGCGTATAAAAATAATGTATCCCAGGATTTTTAAAAACAGTACCTTATAAAGCGATAGCTCGACTAAAATACGCCAATCAACTATAATTTATAGCCTGTAGAACTCAGGAACATTGTAGCTATCTATCAGTGAAAGAATTTTGGCAATCAGACCAGCGGTTCCAATGATTATCCCCTACATACAAACTTACGAATTTTACCTCTTTATAATATTACTTTAGATTATTTCTTGTGATGATTTTTTTTATGTATTATATAATTATTATATAATATAATTATTTTTATTCATTATATCCAAGGACTTTTCCAATTTTAGATAACTTTTATGAATTAGATATTCTTTAGCATTCACTGTGTAAACTGTGCAAATCAGCTGTGTATTTTTATACTAAAATACATCTCACAACTTTATTATAACTTTGCTAGTATTTGTGACATCGTATTCTGTGCCTTTACAAAACAGTAATGTGCACAAATCGTCATTTCGGTTGTGAAAGAGCTCGCAACGCTAACGCAAGTTAACGCAACCATTTCTGTAACCTCAAAGTAACTCAGTACAAATCAGACCCTTGACTAAACCTGTCGTGCAGTGATAAAAATTAACTTTTAACGTTAAAAATAACCTGTTCATTTTTATAACTAAACCGAGAAATTTACACGAAGGTAAGTTTACAAGCTATTGTTCTTAATTTTTTTTTACGTAGTTCGGTGTCTTTTGTTTATGTTTAAAACTTAATTTAAAAAAAGAACATGTTTTTGTTTGAATTTATTTTTTCTTTTTTTTTTGGGCCGTGTTTAAGGAATATTTTTTTTTCGTGAATGTATGTAAGGTAACATTTAATATATTGGTGTTTCTGTATATGTAGGAGAAATGTATTTTGTATTACCTAAGTATATTTAAAGAAAAAATTGCGTTGTTATTAATATTATTCTCTGCACAAAGTAAAGTGAATTTTCCAAACAGTATCGCTACAATCTATTTAAAAAATAATTATAAAATAGTTAACTACTTAAAAACTCGTAGTACCTACACGAATAACACATACCTAATAGGTATTAAAAAGAAGAACTTGACTGACTCGTATACAATATTAATTTGTTTAATAAATGTTAATGTTTTTCGGAAAATCGACCCTTTTGGTTTCCAACCTTACCATTTAGGTAAATTTATTTTAATTAAACCATAACCGGTAGTTTTGAACGTTAAACAAAGAATAGTCTGTCGGTCAGTGCTCTAGTGAAGTTATTTGCTCGTTCCAAAGTGTAGATTCCTATGGAGAAGAACGAGAAAGAAACTCCATGGTTATATACTCTTTTTCAATCAATTTAAACCAAGTTGTTTTTAAGAAAGAAGGCGATTAAGTACATACAGATTCTTTTTGTTAAATTGTATTTTTTTAACTTAAATCTAGTTAAAATATATACCTCAGTATATACTTAGGTAATAGTAAAAATATTGGCACAAAAAAATATCTTACGCTGTTAATAATCTTGAAGGAAAAATTTCGATGTTTTTGTAATCAAAAAAGTTTTTAAAAACATTCCAATTCGGACTTGTATTTACTTAGGTACATACTAGCGATCCGACCCCGCTTCGAATGGGTGTCTATTCTCGTACTAACGAGAAGTCTCGCTTCTTTTCCAATATCCCACTCAAATTTTCTAAAATTTACTTTCATAGAACTTTATAATAAACAAAGAAAAAGAATTGTCAAAATTGGTCCAGGCGTTCTTGAGTTATGCTCTTACCAATACATTTTAAATTGCATCTAATAAGATTACGAACAAAATATTATAATAAGTATTATACATACAGAGGCGGCGTAGGGGGTCATCGCCTATGGCTTCGCGCATCCCGAATTTTTATTTTCATCTTCAGGTCGCCACAGAAAAGGGCCTCCTAAAATCTGTCTTGCCCACATTAAAATTAGGTCTTGCCTCGCCATTGAATTATTTTTTTATGTAATTTGTCGGCAAACGAGCAGACGGATTACCTGATGCAACGGAGGAGTAACGAGTGCGTTGCCGACCTTTTAGGGATTAGGGATTTGGAGTTTTAAGGATTGAGGAGGGATTGGGGGTGGGGAAGGATTGGGCCTCCGGTCCGGACCTCACTCACACGGCGAAACACAACGCTGTGGTTGTTCACCAAAAGAGTTTCACGCCGGTCTTCTGTGAGGCCGTGGTATCACTCCGGTCGAGCCGACCCATTCGTGCCGAAGCATGGCTCTCTCACACTTAAATATAGTATACATAGGTATTAATATACCTAATGTTATACCTATTAGAAATAAGCGAGCCTCAAGTTCCTTTTCATTGAATATAGAAAATCATTCTATACAACACATCATCAGCCTATAAGTGCCCACTGCTGAGCAAAGGCCTCTCCTTACACGGAGAAGGTTTGAGCATTAACCACCACGCTTGCACAACGCGGATTGCGATTTCAAACTTATAATTAGAAATTACTATGTAGCTATTCTCGCGCTATTTCACCCGCTGCTCAGCTCCATTTGATTGTAGCGTAATGTTTTATAGCCTATAGCACTCGGGAATATTGTATCAGTGAAAGAATTTCGGAAATCGCGAGCGGTTCCAAAGATTACCCCCTACATACAAACTTACAAATTCTCTTTATAATATTAGTATACAAGTATACGATACTCGTTTGACGATGACTGTTATAAAAAACAAAATTAGATACTAAGTTAGTTAAGATTAATATTTTTTACTCGACACACAAGTCTAGTCAGTATTTTTGCTTCATTCTATTCTTAGTACTAAGAAACTTGGGTATTTAACTGACCAAGGTTAAGTTGATAAGTTAGTATATCCGCTTATTTAAGCAAATGTCTTGAAACACAATTGTTTGACCTTCAAAGATTTATATGTATAACCCGTATACTGGTGGAGTGTAATGTGTTTTGTTACCCCACTCTTCACGTGGGTGTGTACCCGTATCAGTTTATGTAGAGGAGACAAATAATTCAATGGTGCATATCCATATGCTTTCTTTTGTGAGGGGAAAATCATCAAATGACTTCTACCGGCCAGGGTAAGGCGAGAGAGAGTGTCAGACTCTTACTGACTAAAAACCCCCGTTCCTTCTCCTGCTCTGGGCCGAGGCCGCGGTGACTTATTGCGCTTAACCCGCAACCCCGGCTGAACATCAGACCTATAGGGCCCCGTCTGTGGTGGTCTATTGGCTCTTTAAGACAAAATTAAAAGGAAAAACAGATATCACAAAATCTTTTATAAGCGGTCGCAGTCTCGCCAATGTTATTAGGTACCTACAAAACAGTTTTAAAATAATAATAAGTACTTATGCACACGTCTATGATTAGCTTAAGGTAAAAAATGTCTTGACGTAGATGAACTTTGTCCTGCACAATCAAATATCTACATACCTGATGCAATCGTAATGATAATGATTTGCAAATGATTACAACATAATTAATCTGGGGACACGGTACTGCCACGCCAAGTCGAGTGCAAAGAAGACATTATTTTTTATCCAGGCTTGTTGTAGGATGCAATCCCACTTCTATGCAATCATACATATGCACATGCAGCAAAGATGACATGCATATGCACACTTGCAAAAACCGGAAAACATGGCACGCAATCAAACCTATACTCGACACGTGTTTCGCCCCTCCACAGGGCATCCTCAGGAGATGTACGTTGACTCGACGAGCGCTCGTCGTTTAATGTCATGGATTTCCACTATAAATAATGCGAAGAAGACACTGCCATATCATCCTTTACAAGAACCATTTCACCGCATTTTCTGGCCTCTATTTGAGAACCTCTGGATAAGACCAGAACGTAGAAATTTTTGTCATCCAGTAAGCTAAAATCACATACTTAAAATCTATTTTCAAGAGCCATGCATCAGCGTGGCCCGACTGGACTGATAGCACGGCCTCAAAGAAAACCGGCGTGAAACAACCACAGCGTTGTGTTTCGCCGCGTGAGTGAGGTTAGCAGAGGCCCAATACTTCTCTAATCCCTAAATCTCCAAACCTCTAATCCCACAAAGGTCAGCAACGCACTCGTAACTCTTTCGTTGTTGCCCATGGACACCCGGGCGGCGCTGATTGCTTACCACCATAAAGAAACTAAAACGATGCCTACGGAAAATATTAGCGGTGGTAAAAATTCTCTACTATACCATAACTACACGTATATAATCGGTTTTGTTTTAATTGTAAATTAATGAAACTAATAGTGTATTTGTTTGTTTGTTTGTTAAAACGACCTAATCTCCGAAACTACTGGTTCGATTTGAACAATCCTTTTTGTCTTTGTTACTCCATTTATCGAGGAAGGCTATACGTTATTAAAAGTCACGCTACGATCTGTAGGATTAGGAACCGGCGGGTGAAACGGTGGGACAGTACCTAACTATGTTTAAAATTAAATACTTAATTTAGTTACTTATGTAGGTAGTGTTGTGAAGCAATTTATTTTATTTTTTTATTTACATCACTAACAACCATCATTACAGATAAGATCCAATTCGATAGTGTAGCCATCAGTCTTACAAAATACAAAAGTAAGAACTTATAATCTAATTATTTAATGTATACTTACCTAATATAATTTGAACAGTCACAAAGAATAAACAAGAACATAAAAAATACTAAAAGGTAAGGTAATTAACAAAATATAACAAACTTAATTACTAAACATTCTTAAAATTATAAAGTGAATACTATAATAAGTCTTAAACACTATTTTACTTAGGTAACCTACATTGTTTAAACACATACTACATAAAAGAAAAACTACTGACACTAACATAAAAATCTTTATAATAAATAAAATAAAAATAAAAGCACACTTACATCAATTTCAGTGAGATCAAATGTTATTATATGTACATATGTGGAGTAAAACTCGTGTGAGATCACTCGTTTTTCCCGAAAATATATCAACGCGGCTATGAACCTCGTTCACTACGCGAATTTAGACGTAGTAGGTAATAATGAAAAATAAAATACTTGAACAATATATTTTTTTGTGCTAAAGTCGGAAATTGAAAACAAAAGGTCGTGTGTTATAAACTTATACATATAATGCCTATATACATATATTAATATATTACAATTTCGGCAATAACAAATCTGTTTTTGCTCGTTGTACTTAGGTAAAAAAAACCTTCCTAAGTTGCAAAATTTTATGAACATTAATCTATTCAAATACTAGCTTCCGCCCGCGGCTTCGCCTATGTCCTATACCGGAGTGTATACTATGCCTCCATTATCTGTCATCCAGATCCGTCCACCCTATTGTGATTGAAGAACAAACATTCTAACATCCAAACATCGTAGCTTTCGCATTTATATAATATAAGTAAGAAATTAATTTTTAAGTTATTTTTAACCTTTGGAACCGCTGGTCGGATTGCCAAAATTCTTTCACTGATAGATAGCTATAATGTTCCTGAGTGCTATATGCTATAAAACATCACGCTACGATCAACTGGAGCCGAACAGCGAGTAAAACCGCGCGAGTAGCTTGCCCAAAAGTACCAAGTTTCATTAAAATTTGTTTAGTAATTTTCATGATTTTGGACTTGAAAATTTTAACGTGTAACAAGTGTGGGAGAGCCAAGCTTCGGCACGAATGGGTCGGCTCGACCGGAGTGATACCACGGC